AATTATCTGTGCACGCAGATTGGACGGCCAGCTTAAGGCGGAAATTCTCTGCTAAAGGGACCCAACATTTGATAGGTACCGTAGGTTTGCATTGTTCATTTGCTTTTCCAAGCTGGACGGCCATGTGCAAGTCCCACCAGACGTTCTGGATGTGCTTTCGCGATACACAATACTGGTCCAACTCATGCCATTCGTAGCAGAGTCGTGAGGGGATTTATTGTGTCGACTTGGTCACCAATCCTACGTGTGCATCTGTATGCCTTTCTTGTCCTGACGTTGTCTCCCTTGGAAATTCAACGGAATGTTCCGACCACATTTCACTGACGGATGCTACAAGCCTGTGAGCGATCACTGGTGTGTGAGGCCTAAGACCATTGTTTGCAGAGCCTCCAAGTTTGCCCTCACGCTTTGATCCCATTTCTCACCAGTGATGTATTGAACCGATTAGATCTTGCGGACATGTATCTAGACTGAGCGGCATGCTTGGTGTATATATATATATACCATTGTCGACAGAACCGAGGGCCTTATCGACAGGATCGCCGACAGCGTCACTAACAAGATCGCCGGACAGGCTAATCGACCCCTCATTCCACGGCATGACTGCTATAGACATATAGGATACAGCTAGATATCGGTGCCTCGAGAATTACCAGGCACCCGCAGCTGTTTTGTTCTCGCAGTACACAACTTCCCCTCCCTTTACCTCAATTTCTTCACACACAGCTTTCTGCTATTCTCTGTGCCCTGATTCACGGATTAGAGGCTTTGAAATCTTCCGCAAGAAAACAAAAAGATATGTCCTTGTTCGATTCCTGGTTAGTCTTGCCCACGCCCTGTGCCCTAATCCATCACCCCCGTCTCCCACGTTTGTGGTATTCTTCTCAAGGTGGTGAAATTCCCATATTGCTCCGGCCCACATTCCACGCCCACGCCCACGCCAACGCCCCAAGCCCTGACTCATGAGAGTTGCTGATTTTCCTGTCAGTCAACCCCAAAAGGTAATTACATCTCCCACCCCTCTGACTTATTCCTACTTTCTGCTTCCCTTTCACACCATTGTATCTGCCTTGCACAGCTTGAGGTATGTTGCTGCCTCGAAATCACTGCTCTCCTTCTCTTATGAGTTGCTCGTCACTACCCATGGACCCCGATACCCTCATCTGTCAAAACGGAACCACAAGGTGAGACACCAGTACACATTCATCACCATTTTGATCATGACACACACACTTGGACTCAGCCAGGCCTGTCAGAGTTGAAAATTTCCTCTGAACATACTTATCGATGCCCTACCTGGCCTATGCTGCGAAGCTGACCAAGTTTCCACTCAGCACCCTCCCACATTTGCCTCCCATACTTCAAGAGTTGATACCTTGTGCCCGTTCAGGCACATCAGAACTAATTGCGGTCATAGCTTTCTTTCTCGTGTATCTAGGTACCTCTACCATCAAGTTACAGGGCTGATGCGCCCCACCACCCCCCTATCAAACCACCAAAACAACCCGGGTTGAACTCTGATTACCACTCCCAGAGTAAGTACCTCATTGTCATAACATTCAGGAAAACATATGTCACGAATTCTCTGTCCCTCTCCTCTCAACAAAAATTATCCCCTCATCTCTGTTCGTACCCTCCACTACCAACTCGTTCTCTCTCTTGTTCACCTGCTGTATTTTCTTACCGTATTTTATCGTTTCCACATCTAACATTGGGCTCACATCTACGCCCTTCCTTTCATCAACGATCAGGATAAATTCTGGCAGATTTTACTCCGGTGCCTAACCTCTACCTATCAACCATTCTTCTGGCATTTTTACCGTCTGCACCAGCTGTTCATTCGACACGGTCAAACTTGCGGAAAGTGGAAGAGAACCACTGCAGGGTGTCCAGAGGAATGTAAGTCAACCCCGTACCCCGTCGACCCCATGCTCAATCGGTTCGAAAAGCGCGAGACCGAAGCCTAACCAAGCCGAAAAAGCGAGTCAAGACTCCGTTCTTTCATCCTCCGACGGTGACGCTGACGCTGACGGCGAGGAAGATGAAGAGATGCATGACTCCGACGCTGACGCCGAGGGCTAGACCGACTCTGACGTTGACGCCGAGGGCGAGACCAACGACTAACTGACCGACGCCTTTGAGAGCAGTGACAGCATGATCGTTTCATGCGGCGACTTTGTTCCCATCCGCTTTACAAATCGCCGATCTACACCATCGCCTCTCGATCCAGAACCTGATCAGGGACGATACCACCATGTCGAACTCGATGGTTCCCGATCGTCTCCTCCCGCTCTTCTCTATACCGCAAGGTCCTTTACCGTAGTAAATGCAAGGAGGAAAGGGCAAGGCGTAAGTATAGCTTTTATAGCCTCTAGAAAGCCTTTACTAACCCACTAGCAGTACTGAGTGGAGGACACAAACTTCCTGTGATTCTCGGTAAGTTTTGACGCCTCTCTCTCTTCACATCTTCTGCAGATAACATAGAAGGTGTTAATTTGATTTATGCAAAGTTGGCGTTGTGTCTGCCCCTCCACGGGCGCAAAAGTAGATAATAGTGGCAGTCTGGGTCGGATCCCTTCTGGACCGTCCCTCTCTGGACTCATTGTCCTTGACCATCCCGTTACTGGCGAGGAACACCTTCACCGAGAAACATATCTTCAAGGAACAGACACTAATCGAACTATCCAAGCAGAACCTAATGCCAAGACCGGCAAACTTCCCTCGCACCATTAGTAGATAACTCAGACAAGTACGGAAGATACAGATGCAGCGTCTTAACATACTCTACCACAACCCGTCTATGGCGGAGGCCCCTGCGCGCCGAGATGCGCAAGTAACCCCTTAAACCCTGAATACGTGCGTTTTAGCGCTGTTCGTCTTGTACAAAACGGGCATGGCCTTAACAGAACACCTGCAAGTTGGAACTCAGTCTGCGCGGCAGTATTGCCTAACATTTAAATTTCCATATACGCACGGTCATTGGCTACAATCCCTGATCACGCTAAAACGTAGGTGTTCAGGCCCCTTAAGGGGATATGGTCACGCGGGGGGTCATAGAGGAGACTGCTGCTGCCCGGCCCACTGAAGCCAGAGAACATGTCCACCAGCTAGAGTGTTCAGACCAATGAACAACTGAACTCGTAGGGGTGATCGAACTAGACTTGGGTCCTTCGCCAGCCAATGGAAAGGGATACGACATGACCGACGCCGGCAAGGGCCTTCCTCGTTACACTCCAAACCCGAACGGAGACGGTACTTCTGGCGGCGCGGCTTCTAACTCCACCGATCAGACTGACGATGGCACTGCATCGTCTTCTGCCACCACTCCTGCTGCTTCTTCCGGTCGTTGAGCCTGCCTCTGGTTTGCCTGCCTCTGTTCCTGCTCCGGCCGAGTCCGCCTCTGGTTCGTCTGCGTCTGGTCCTGCTCCATCTGCGTCCTGTCCTTCTCCATCTGCGTCTGGTGCTGCTTTTAACCTTCTTCCAGATATCGTTGTGCCGCCAGAGGCTCTTACGAACATCGAGACCCAGATGGTCATCATCCTCCCGTGCATGGACGAAGACTACCGTACCATCGAGGGAGACAGCATGCTTACGTTGTACCCGATCGCCCCTCTCGACCGCTCTCCTCGACCGCTCCCCTCGACAGCTCCCTCGATGCCGCTGTCTTTCCAATACGCAGCAAGTTGCCAGCACTGAGGCTATCTTGCCTCCTCAAGAGATGCACCGCATTGTTCGGTTTCCTTTGCGAGATCGCTCTCAATTTGACGCAGTCTATGATCAAAGTGGTTACCGACAAAGGAAACTACCCGATGCTCATCCACTGTACTCAAGGAAAGCATCGCACTGGGTGTGTCGTTGATGTCATCCGCATGACCAACTCATGGGACACGAAGAGAGTACTCGAAGAATACACCACGTTCGCCAGCGACAGGCTCGATTTGAGGTATGTTACATTCGCAACGTACAGCCCATACAATCCTTGACACTGACTGAATATTTATAGCGGGGAAAGGCTGGCTAGGGACCGACAAGCCCCTGGGACCCTTCATACCAATGCCCTCTATTCCGTGTACACTTGTCGGTAGGGGCAACTGGTGTACAATGCCAGACGTGAGGGCGATCATTGTACCCACGGTAAGGGGGTTCCCGGGGCTTTACGCGAAATTCAGGAGCGTGGGTGACCTTGCTGAGAATCGGCCCAGCAGGTCATCAAGCAGATCCAGGACTGCTCATTAATGCCCCGAGTCTCTCAAGGGCCGACTTAGTAGGTCGAAAGATGGTAATTGAGCCAAATACTCGTGCTCATCCCCAGTACCGAAGCCCCTTTGAGAGACCCGGGCATCAACAAGCTCTTTAGTGGCCAGAACAACGGTGACGGTAATGCCGTTGTGGCCCTGCCCCCCTCGGACCACGTGGCAATTGCGGCAAGTCAATCAAGATCAATTACAAGGGCAACTCGGCCGCCGCCAAGGTCGTCGACACCTGTCCCGACTGTTGAGCTCAGCCCACACGAGACCCAACCTTCCACACCGACACCCAACGATCGCTTGGGATCTCACCCTGGCGCGTGCCCACTGCCATTACCTACCTCGAACGCGCCTCACCTTTATTACCTACTCGAGTTCAAGGCCACCAAACCACAAGTATGTGCCACTCCCCCTTTCCCTCCTCGCACCTTCGACACAGCCTTCATGATCTCATCACCCGTGGCCATCAAGCACTACCTGGAGGCCTACCTGGAGCAATAGGCTGCGCTCCAGCGTTGGAATAAGCAAAGAACCGACGAAAAAGCCCAACGACCCCGACGATTACCCTTCTCATCGTGGCCCCCCGATAATCGGTGCACTGCCCCTCCGTACTGACAACTATTTCTGCCGCGGCTGCTCAGGCTCGAGGACTCAACGCCAACGACGGTGCCCGCCTTGCCGTGGCCACGCATGAGTTTAGCGTCGTGATGAACATGCCGTACGACAGAGACGCAGAAGACGCAGATAGAGATGATGGCGTCACGGCGCACGGTCTACGACTACTCTCCAACGACAGACATGGCCTTGTTCGTCGAAGCAGCTGAACGCCAGCTTTTGCAATTATTCAAGAAGATAGACCGAGAGGTTCATGAGTGGGGCACGAAAGACATCCGAAGCGTCTTTCCAGCAATTGCTGCCAAGTCCTACGAAACTCGCACTCGCGATGGAAAACTGGACAAAGAGGAGCTCCATGGCGCATTTCAACGCGCCGGCATCGCGGTCCCCTGACGCAGATTGGATGCGTTCTTCCAGGATATGGACAACACCCCTCGTTGTCAACAGGGAGGCAAAGGCAGAAGGAGAAGCAGTCAGCGGACAATATGGAGCCGTTCACTCCCTATTACTCGGGGAATGACTCCCACCCAGGGCGGCCCGTTTACTACTTCCGCATGATGAACGGTGTGAAGGCTCCCCAGGCCATGTACCCCTATGAAGGGAGTAGGCTACCATATGCCTTCTGCAGGTAGCATGGAGCCCTTCACGCGCTCTGACGCAGGGATGACTCCGACCCAGGACTGGAGCCAGCCTCCGGTTCCCTGGCCCCAGACGCCGGCTACGCCAACGCCCAGCAGACTGTACGGAGGAGCATATGCGCCCAGAAACAGTGATCTAGATCTACGCCCAAGGCTACGTCGCTGATGGCTTGGGTGACGGTACCTGCTCAAACTGCGTTGTGCTCACGGGATGAGGACCATGTGCAGTTTCAGCAATGCCCAGAGGCGGGGCTGCCATCCAGTCCCCTCGTAACTTCTCGAGTCGAAAAGCTGCCAGGCTCAGACTGAACAGAGTCTCAACCGACGCCCTGGTGTTCACCAGCTCCCCTGCCGCTCCGTGTAGCCCTGCCGGGATGGGATTGGGCAACTAGAACCTGCTTCCAGGTAAGTCATTGGCGAGGGCGGCCTGCCTGATCCTCCGCCTCGTTGCGCGCGATCAATGGTGTCTGACTATGGAACATGGACTAATATAAAAACGACAGTTTCCCAGCAGCCCCGACAAGTCAGCGAGGTAGAGCAGTCCCGAGTAGTCCGCGAGGCGGACCCCAAGAACCCGAACTGGACACCAGCGCTTGCGAGGTGGTGACACCCTCCGTCTGAGGCTCGCGGTCGCATTCATGCCATGCGCTTGGGCCCTGGTGTCGTTCGAAGTTCGAAGATGACATCTTAATAATGGGCTACCGGAGTGGAGAGAATGGCAGGCATGTCGATAACGGTGATGCCATCAATCCGGTATTACACCCGGCATTCAGCAGCGTGTTCGTCGTTCCGACCAGGATTTCCCCTTGAGGACAGCAGCTGGCAGGCCCTCGTGAAGGCTGGGTCCAAGACTTTCATAACATGAACTTGGGCCGCACTGCCGGTGCCAATGCCCTTCATCATGGTCGGCGTAGCCAGATTATGGGACCTGGATGTTCTCCGGCTTTTGCCCCCATCCTGTTCCAAGCCCCGATCCTGTTCCAAGCCCCGGCAGCCTTCCATCCTCAGGTGCGACACCACTCTGGTATTGCACCCGGTCTTCAGCAAGGGAAGCAATTTCCCGGCTTTTGTCCCTGCATTCTATTAACCGCCTTTCTCTTTAGGCGCATTTAACAATATCGCTCGTGTCAAACAGTCAGTATGCAACGCTGAGTTCGACAAGGCAATGAGCGAGTGGATGAAGATGACCGGCTGGTCTCAAAAGTAGGGTGTTATCGCTCGACGGACCTAGAGGCTGTGAGAATTTGTCGACAATGCCAATGGACACAAACACTCGTCTGCAAGCAACTATGACGGTGCAACATGGGTCGGGACTGCTACCAGCAACGTTGCTGAAGGGATCAGACGCAGCAATGTTGACTATCGTCGCCAAAAGCCAACGCCTGATGCCGTTTCACTGTAAGCGAAAGAACCTTCCCTTGCGCACCAGAGATCTGCATATGTCTCACGTGTGTGCTACGCAGGTCAGCGCTCTGTCTCATTGTCAACTTTGCGCACTGGCAAGATCATCTGGAGCGTGGCGAACCAATCCCAACCATCCCGCGAGGAAAGAATCCGGAGTGGAACCAAGCCCTCATAGCCAAAAATGCGTCCATCGTCCGCAGAGCATTGCACAGTCCTCTGCCGATAGATCGAGGTGTTGAACGGGGCAAAAGTGGATTGCTGGCTTCTCTGCCAGTAGCCTATTTAACACGAGGCTCTAAGCCCGCACGCCGCGCCGGAGCGCTCACTCTCCAGGACGCCGAGCAGATCTGGTTCGACTAGGGCCCCTCAGACACAGCTCGAACGGCCATCACAAGACGACTAGGTCCACATGCTTTTCCCGTCAAGCAGCGGAGCTACGAGACGCCGTCTGGCAATTCGTCCTGGGGTCGCAGGACGGTCAGATCGTCGTGCCGCAGTTGCAGAAGATTGTCCAAGCGCCATGCACTGCCTGGTCTTTGATAAGCACGAATTTGAGCAGAACACTGGGCGGGCGTGAGCCAGTACAGCTTCGAGGCCAGTTGGCACCAAGATGCCCAGATCTTCCCTGCGAAGTCGAAACTCACAATTGCTCCAGTGGTTTTCTCCATCTTCACAAGGAGGATCACAACGTGGCAATTGTCCAGACGAATTCGTTTGCCAATCTCATCATTTCCAATGTCCTATCTCTCTGGTTGAGGGATCATGATAGGTTGCGAGCTGGCTTCATGTTCCCGACCCAGCGGATTGAGAGATGGTATCGATCTTGGAATCAATTCAGGCTCCGCCGGGTTGCGAGACGCAGCCGTTCGCGAATTTGCTGATGTCCGCCGATCTCTGCCGTCCAATATCGATTCGGGAGAAACAGTATCGGAAGTCGAATCCAAGAAGCTTCAAGTCGGACCCGAGACAGTCGTTAACTGGCAGCATCTCTGACAGCACCGGTTGCGCACACGCCGTCAGACACGAGGAGCGCATGATCGCCTAGTGCGTCTAGGCTGTTTCGGAGTGGATGTGATGGGTTTCTGCTCTGATACCGCTTGGACATTTGAGAGCATGGACATCTCGCCGATCAGTATTGCTTCTCGTAGGCACGAAGAGCATGATGGACTGCGGCGATTGTCCTACTCCTATTCCACCTCCCATCTGGCTGGAGGATGAGAACCTGCTGGCGCGATTCCGGGAGGTCAACCGCGAGCGCACGGCTACCAATGGCCGACGAGCGCGTATCTGCACAACGATAAAGCAGAGCCTGATGGCAGCATCAAGACTTGTATGAAGTGCAAATCCACGCACGGCGAGGACGACGACATGGACAGACCTGAGAGGCTAGACAAGAACCTCGAGGCTGCGTTGGTAGAAGGAGACTGGCATGGCTGCCCGCAGTGCCGACGCATGCTCTCCCTTGGGGATGGATGTCATCATTTGTGGTGAGTGTCTCTTCTCTTGTCCCTCTCCTGAAGCTCCCGGAGGCTCCAATACCCTTTTGTTGATTTCCTCCATTCAACGCCACTACAAGCACCAGCACCTGTCAAACAGTGCGTTGATGGTTCATATGGTGGTGTTCGTGTTTTCAGTGCTGATTGTGTGTTCTGAAGGTCTGCCACGTGGCCTTGGTGTCCAAAATGCACCAATGGCCCGTGCACTGTTCAGTGCACTGCCACCTCCCTAACGCCACGGTGGCTTGTGTGCCATTCAACAGCACGACCACGAAGCAAGCTACACCATGCTTATACACTACAATCAAGGCAAGTATCGGACCAGATGTGTCGTTGGTGTCGTCCGCATGACAAAATCATTGAACACCAAGAGATTCCTGGAAGAATATACCAAGTTCGCAGCTTCTAAGGCTGGTGATGCCCGGTAAAACCCCGGCAGGGGGGTTCTATTGAAGTGCCGTTATCCATCTAATGACGAACGAGCCATGGCATTTTCTCCGATGTCAACACGGAGACTATCCATCATGCCGATGCTGGCAAAGTCAAAGATGAAGACGAAACGCTGCTCACGTTGTTGGGTGCCGCCAGGCCGCCGCCACTCATGGTGGTCCCGACCGGAAGAACACAGATATAGCCACCTTGACAACAAGAACTGCCAGCCGACATCTTGACTTGCGGATATCAATTTGTCATCCTTCCGAGGCGATGAGCGCTGGGGAAGAGATGAGTCTTCGGGACTTCCAACATCATCAAACACTGGTGACGCTCCCTCTTCCACAGACACACGTGTTCTGTCCCTTGACAGTTTGGCGGACTCACTATCCGGGGTGCGCATTTATCTCAAAAACAGAGATACGTGGGAAGACTGTTTCGATCATCTCGACGAGACGGGGGTTATCATCGCGAGAGATCCCCGATGGTGCTTCTACACTGACCTTCCAATTTTATCCGCACATCACAGGTGTGCGGAGATTATTGGTGGGTTATTGGTCCTCGACAACGTGCTAAACTCCACGCCAGCAGACCAAGATGGCTGAAGTCATATCAGCCACAGGGTAGACTTGTCCTCATCTTGGCTGAGGACCTCTCTTATCCATGGTTGGCCAAGACGCCATCACGGTGTTTGTCACAAAATTCACAGACTTGGAAAATGCTTGCTTGGCACATTCTTACCATGGTCGGCACTATCGCAGAGAAGCATGAGATAATTTTATGGCGAAGTATCGGGAAAGCACAACGCACGACTTGCCTAAAGTCCGAATCATGATGACTTTGTATTCGACCCAGGACGTGCTCGCGTGCCGGGGCGGCGATGGTAAAGATCATGACGGCGACAGTGATGTCGATGCCCTTGGTTGGTACGAATAGGCGAAGCTGGTGGCGGACCTGTTTGGATCCCCTCTCGATGGCGACGATATGACTCAATGCTGAGGAAAAGACGGAAGCCTTCTGGCGAGCCAGCGGTCGATGTAAATGAGAGCAGGTTGCGGCGGCGACTCATGCGAACAGTCAACTGCACAGCCTCCACTTCGAAAAAGCTCAGACGTTATCTCGCATGGCAACAACACAACGCCAAGCCCGGGCCCGCGCGCTTGGCCGCGCTACTGCTTTTGCTGCCCGCGGCGAAGACATCGAGCTGAGGGCGACGGTGACCGTGCCTGCGCCGACGACCACACCCGCCGGACGCCTCTCCCGCCGGACGCCTCTCCCGCCAGACGCCTCTCCCGCCCGACATCCGAGATCCGCCGCTTCGAACAGAACGCCGCTAGCCTCGAATTCCCCTACGGCAAGCCCGCCTCTCGTGTCGATAATGGCTGAGGCATCCTGGCCCAAGGATGTGAAGCCGAAGTCGCTGAAGCAGCAGTATACGTTGGCGTATGTCCCCCCTTTCTATCCCATGCCATCTCATGCCATCTCATGTCCTGACCGCCATACCGACTTGCGGCCCTGCACAAGATCTTCCCCTTTCACCTTCAACAACCAAACACAACCACACACACCACCAACCCAATCACTCTCACCAGCAATCATGGTTTCCTTCACCAACGTTGTCACCGGTGTCCTCATCGGCGCTGCCGGTCTCGTCAATGCCTACTCCGGCGACATGACCTTCCACCCCGTGCCCTTTAAGAACGAGGCGGGACAAACCGTTATGCAGGATGTCACCAGACGCCGCTGGCCGACCTCAGTCGGCTTATCGTATCTCGACCTCCGTGACGTCGTCGATGCGCGAACGCCACCCCCCAGGCCTCGGTGCCTGCGGCGGAACCAACGGTGCTGGTGACTTCATCGTCGCCCTCTCTCAGTCCCAGTACAACGGCAATTGCGGCAAGTCAATCAAGATCACCTACCAGGGCAAGACCGCCGTCGCCAAGGTCGTTGGCCTCTGTCCCGGCTGCGGTTCTGGTTCCATCGACGCCTCTCCTGCCGTCTTCAACAGCCTGGCCAACCCTGACCTCGGACGCATCCACGTCGACTGGGGGGTAGTCGACAACGCCAAGGTAACCAAAGAAGCCGACAAGCTCAAGACTCGGGGACCTTCACCACCGGACGGTACTCCGAACATTCCCGTCGACTTCCGCTGCAACAGGACTCGCGTCGGCCAATTGGTACATCGGCTGCCCCCGAACACGATCAACCCAATCGCTACCGAGCAGTATTTCTTAATTGGCTGTCGTCGCCCGGGCTTGTGACTGTCGATCGTATGGACCTCTCAGCACGAGCGAGCTCGGGTCGAAAAGGGGGCACCACTGCAAGCAAGACCTAGGCCGCCGTTTCGAGACGTTCCACGGCGAATCGAACATACAGCCCCTTTGCTAAGAGAGGAGTTAACGACGTTTTCCTCGTTAGCAACCAGTACATTTTCCAGATCGACGTCAATTGCCCGCAGGGCCGCGACGGCCGGGTGGTTCTGTGTGGGTCCGCCAGAACGGCCAGGAGAGAAGAACCAGACTGAACCTGACCGTGGTGAACGTGGTCGACTACGTGGATCGTCAACACTTGCAAAAGGCGCACCGCATTCTTGCCAATCCGCGATTCTTCTGATTTCGTCGTCAACCCTGTCATCACGAGGCAAACGCAAGAATCTCCATATCAAGTGAATAGGGGTATGACGATATTGTCGAGTATCTTCTCGCACAGGGAGCAAACGTTGACCAGCTCGAGGATATCGCCAGAGACGTTGCGCGCCTATTTGCGCTGTAAGTACATAACGCAGTCGACGCTATTTTCATTATCCTGAGCCGACTGGGGTGGTCGATCAAGGGACCGCCGAACCGCCCTCGTGGTCATGACCTTGATTTCCAAGGCATACCCGATTGTCTGAGCCTACAACTGCGCAGATCGGATGAGTTCTTTCGGGCTATTGACCACAACCGAGAAGGATATGTAACTTATCTGAGTCTCCGTTGAGATCTATCGCCAACCGCACTGGTACGATCAACTCCCTTGTGTCGATCGGGTACGTACCCGGACCATTGCGAGAACCCCCGATCATCACCGAAGCGGTCACCCCCAACAGTGAGAAGAGTGGCTGATAAGTGGCACGAGATTTGATGTCGCAGGTATATCGCTTACCGATCTTTGCATTGTACCATCCTGACAGTGTCCCTCTTCTAATCTGCATGCACGCTGCCTTTGCAATAAAGCTGCCAAAATGGGCGACAAGGTCTGCCTCTACGACGGCTGTAGCACTACCAGCAAGGCGAAGGGGGCAGCCATGATGATGGGCATTGCCATTTGCCACATTGCGAAGAAGAAGTGATAGCATCGCCTATGTGACGAGCACAGTGGGTTTTCACGATCATTCAAGGAGTAAGTTACTCACGGTGAGTACACGATCCTCCAGTTGATCGTTTGAACCGGCAGATCACGCATTGGCGCTGCGCTCTCTCATCGTCGCGTCTGTTTAGTGACGACCGGGACGATTTCTCGCGCGTCGTGAGGCAGGACAAGGCACGGGACGCTGATGCGGATGCCACAGGGGGAGGCTACGCAAGGTCTGGTCCGCCGTTCGATGCGGAAGCTAGCCCAGCACTCCCTTTCCAGCCAGCGCCGGAGCCCCAGAGGCAAGACCCAGGGCCCCTCTCTGGCGATAACAATATCGACTCGTTCGACGACAGCCTCCCGAATGGCAAGGACAACAACACATCCTCATCGATCCCACCCGTGTGGCCAGCGCCTCCACCAAATCAAACAAGCCGACCAATCTGAAGTACTTGATTGACAAGCTCTTGTAACTCTACATGAGCCTGACCACCTGGTTTCAAGGTTGCATGATAGAGTTTTCCCAGGATTGGCTTGATCGAATCTAAGCACGGACCACGAGATAAAGATTATCCGCCGAGCCGGATTAAAGGCTTTCCCGAAAGCCCCGGCCCGGTCGGAACCTTGGAACCTTTAGTGTTCCTCCCAAAATGAAGATCTCCACGGCCAAGATGGAAGGTCACAGGGTCTCATCAATACCATACAAAATGAGTCCTTATGGGTATCCTGGCAGCCCAGGGGTCCCTGAGGCTTGCTTGACTAGAGTCAAATCCAGGGAGAGTGTGTTTGGCTTGCAAGATTGTTAATAACCTCGGTTTGGTCAAATCAGGGCAAGTCAAGCCGTCAAATCAAGCAAATCCGCATGATTTGGCAGAGACGCTGCGTATGCCCAGCCTGACACCGACGATAAATACCTTACGGATTTAGAATAGACGGCGGGCTCAGCGTCGGTGGCAAGATGGAATCGAATGGCGCTGGTGCTGGTGGCAACAATACCCAGCCGCCAAACGGAACCGACGGCATTGCGCACGCTTAAGGCAGTCCTGCCAATGGTAGTCCTTTGGGAGGCAGTCCGGCAGGAGGGTCAGATCTCTTTGGCGACCCAGACGGGATTCGAATCTGCAATCACATTGGAGTCATGAGCGGTGATATATAAGTACCGAACCCTACGACCAGTTTCCGTCTTTTGAAGCGTCGTGCATGAAGTAGTTCGTCGGGCGGATTGGTTCCGTCGAAACCCAAATATTGCATATCGCTAACGGCCTCTTACGACTCGTAACAGACTCTTCCGAACCTTCTCCCCTTTTTTTTCCGTTGCCCGCTGGGGAGCCCTTTCAGCTAGGCGCCTTAGCAACACTACCCGCGACGTCCATGGCATCCCCTAGCCATGAAGTACATTGAGGCGACGCCCCGTGAAGGGTTCATGGTTCCATTTATCGACACAACCTTTCCAATAAAGGTGCCACCACTTTGAAACTCATCGTCGAGACTGATGGGACTGCAAGGTCCGACATCCACGAGCCGCGGGACTTGCGAGATATTCTAACGTGAAAGGCCTATAACTGCCTCCGTCTCGGCAATGAAAACAGCACGGGTCCATCGACCATGCCATGAAGGTAGACATCCCCGACATGTAATCCGACCAGCCAGTCGATGAGTGCCCCCAATACCAAGTCAAAGACATGTCCTGGGAAAGGCTATCAAGGGTGAAGATGGTGTTGAGGTCGCCCGATATAACCATCAGATGTCCCAAGATTCTGATGTCAAAAAGAACACGAGTCTTAACCTGTTCGACGACACTCAGTGGAAGGACGGCGCCGCTTTTGTTGCCGATATGTTTTGCAACCCAACCTCTCGGCGCGACTACCTGAGGCCTCTGAGCCTGCCGTCAGTTCGCCATCTAGAAGTGGGGTTTTGACCCCTGGGCTCGGCGGTTGCGAGCGAGGAAGTCTCCGATGACGATGGCGGGGACGTTGCCATGGGAGGTATCCCCGATGCCGGCCAGGGGTACCAGAATGAGGACGAGGACCAAGGCGACGAGGTCGGTGAGACTGAGCTGATGGATGACGATGATGCCGACAAAAATGACGACAATGTTGTCGACAAGGTTACCGACAAGCTTACCGATGATGCTGCCGACAATGTCGCTGAAAATGATGCCGACAATGATCTGATGATCATCGGCCAAGAGTGAGTCCCATCGATTCTGATAGACAGCGACGACGACTGAAGTAAACGGCTTTGAGCAATTCTCACGCCTCGCCGTTAACGGCGATGCCCCCTTGAATGTTGCGGGACGGCTTCCGGATTTTTATCTGAATTTCATGTTGCAGGCGATACTACCGCAGAAAGACCTGTTCGACCAACTTGGGCCGGTCCCATCTCGTCCGGAGCAGCGTGAGGGGCTTCAGGGCCAGTCACTTGACGAGGACCCCGTGGGCCGACATTGGCACCTCTGCCAGGTCTAGGACTGTCTATTCTTCCACCACCGCTTCTGGTCCAGATGAACGGAGTTTGCCGAGGAGATCGAAAAGGATGAAATCATCACCGAGTTCATTCGCGAGGTCGACCACATGGAGAGCAATGGCTAAGTACCCCTGGTGGCACTTGCCTGCAGTCTGTCGCTTGCACTTTCAGACATACTCGCCGGATCCTTTGTCGGAATTCCCGTTGGCGCTAGGGTGCGCACTTCATCGTCATACCTGCTTGTCGGCGCATTGGTAGTTTGTATTTGCCGGGGATGGAGTCTGATCACTTGTCAACGGTCTTCTTCGTGCTGCCGGCGCATTGGTTAGTGGCCACGTTGGCACAACACCAATAGACGTACGAGAATAGTACGAGCACCTCTTTTCTGCATTCGGGTGCGTGATCCCGTGTTGGATATGGCTCGTTTGCGGTTCGCTAATCCGATATAGAACCCTGAGCACTTCTGCACGCAGAAGATGACTTCGCGCACAGCGAAATGCACTAAGTGTGTCCAGAAGCACATAGGCGCGCGTGCTGGCGGTTGCTGTGAGCTAAGTTCTTGTCGTGAATCCAGCTCGCAAACGCCTCGCTAACGACTTGCAGCTCGAGACTCGCGAGTCAACCCGAGGCGCCCGAGGCGCCCGCGCTGCCCGCTCTGCCCGCGCTGCCCGTTGGTCTGCACCAAAAGATGCGGAGAAAGATGAGGAGGACGAGCGTGCTGCTGGCAACAGAGGTGTCAATGGTGCTGGTGGTAACGGAGCCCGAGAATCCCTCAAGACCACGCTAGCAACAGCCGGAGACCACCCCTCTCTTTCAGCGGATTGGTCTTCGTAAGACTAGGGTGACGTTAATATTGCGAATGTGGCGGACAAGACTGGCTTTACTGGCTTTACTGGCTTTACTGGCTTTACTGGCCTTACTAGCCTGATCTGGCTACGCTGTGCTGATGCATCGACTTTTGGAAGTCGAGACAAGGGAGATGTTGGTAACGAGCAAACCAGTGAAGCCTCGTCTATTCATCTTGTAACCTGGTGATGGTGGTTACCGCCCCCAAGGCCTCCCTGCGGGGATTTTATCGAACATATTCGTGGGTACCTTCCTAAACGGCGCCACCAAGTTCGTCTGTTATGAGCAGGCTCACCAGCACGGGCTTGTGCCATGCCGCCTTGAACAACGTCGGGAAGAGTCTGGAAACGGATTTCGACTCAAGACATAAGCCCAGCTCTGCATTCAACAAAAAGCAAGACAAGACGATGGTGTTCAAATGCTCCGTATCGGGTTGCAATTATGACTTGGCTAGGTTCAACGCGCACCTGAGACATCGGGCGTGGTGTGCATAGGTTGAAGGGAACCGAGAATTCGCTCTTGGTTGAGGCCGCGCCTGATTGGCATTGCGGCTGGAACTGCCGCGGCTCTTGTGGCCCAGGCTAGCAAATTAGCACCACGCCCGGTACGAAGTGAGGGAAAGCCTACGAGCGCTTCCAACCGCGGATCTCCTCTGAAGACGCCATCTCCAGGCCAGAGACACATGTCCATATCGCCCAGTGCTGATCCCGCTGGCAGAATCCCGGCCCTGGCCTCTTGGCGCCCGTATAGTTCGCATCGGCCCGGACGGGGACCTTTTTTACGAGAAATGGCGGATACCCGCTGGCACACCTGCGGGACAACATTTGTCCTGGTCAGCGCAGATGAAGCTCTATATACGGAACCTTGTCACTTTAACCCACATCGGTGGATGAAGTTTGCCGGTGAACAGAACTTCAGCAAGACCTTTGCCCCTTTTCTGAGAGAAACACGGGCTTGTTTCGGACTCGATGTTGCCGCGGACATTACCTCCCCGAGTGGAAGACTATCGATGAGAAGAAGCATTAGTTATCTACGCCAGGTGGCATCAACAGGTGTTCTGGTAGGTTGAGACCAAGGCTAGTGCCGTCTACTTCGGCAAGTTGTCGGTCGTCGAGTGGCCAAGTACAACATCCGCATCGGCTGCAGCTCTTCCAGTTAGATGGAAATTGTGCTAGTGCCTTGCCAGTCATAGCAGAAACCGTGTTCGGCACCAGAAACACTGGAGCCCGTTTCGAACTGGACCTTTCTCGTCGCTTCGGACGAGCGACATGAGCAAGTCGGATATGGAGGCGCGCATGGCGCACAGCGAGAAAGTCGCCGAGGAGCACGAGTTCTACATGCGGGCCAAGAACAACTACGCTGCCCGCCAGAGCCACGGGCGGCGGGCGTAAGGCTAAGCTGATCGATGACCTGTCGCGCGACATCGCGAACCTCCGCCGGAAGAACAACGAGATGGCGGCCATGAACAGCGGGCTGATGACCGCCAGCCTCCTCCTGCATGAGAATGCCAAAGCAAGAAATCTCCGTTCTACGTACCTGATACCTTAGTAGGTGCACCGAGTAGTGAAAGGTTCAAGGAGCTGGAACTCAAGAACTTCCCTTCCCGGAACTTCGGCGAGGACCAGGACGACGACCACACCCTATGGTTTACCAGTAACAGGCTGACCTACCTGGGCATCACAGGCCTGACCCAGGATGTCGGCCTTGCCATCGACAGTGCCGAGGAAGTAATAGTGGCTCTTGTCGCTCGTTTCCCCTCTTGTAAGGGCCTCGATATCGGCCAGGAGTTAACCAGCGACGCAACCTTGGGCACCATCATCAAGATGGGTGTTAAGACCATTTTCCATAACATGGACGCTTTCATGACGAAGAGCTAATGGCCTGGGCTACACAACAAGGGACCAAAGCAAGAACATCAGTAGTAAACTCACTAGGACGTCCGAGTTCTCCTTCATTGCCCACTCACCCGCCAAGACTTATAGATCTCTCCGAACCACTGCTACCGGCTCGACGGCTCCCATAATCCCGGCAAGGTTCCACACTCCCAAGTAACAGTCAATCCGCTCTGCAATTACGAGGAAACCGACAAGCTTATGTCAGAGGTCACCTACATCGAGGCCGCTTCCGTAGCTGAGACCTAGGAAGGGATGGCAGACCGCCTGGCGCGGCACCGGCGCCAGAGAAAGAAGAAGGCCGAGGAGTCTGCGAAAAAGGATAAGAGTGAATAGAAAGCACGCAAGGCTGCTGACAAGAAGAAGCACCGCGAGTACCTCGCCGCCCAGCACAACGAACCTGCGCGCCAAGAACGAACGCCCGAGGGCTGAGCTAAACCAAGCTGTCGGGCATGCAGGCGAAGGAGGAGCATATTCAGATCCCCTAATCTCAGGCCTGGAAACCGGCGGAGATAATTTACATGACTGGACCGATTACTAAGGTTTGTGCTTACTCAAGTGATGCCTCTCGGGCGCTGCATGCTGACTATGTCCAGGTGGAGCTTTCTTCCATTGGCAATGGTGCTCTATTCAAGTTCTTAACCATTCTCCATCATGATGACAGAAATCTGTACCATGCCACTGCAGAATAGTCCCGAAAGCAGCTTCGCTTCGCCAAATCCTGCGTAGCACGAGCCCATGGATTGACCACCTGAAGCACGGCACTCTGCCCCACGTTTCTTACCAACATCAACATTCACCGCAAAGGGGGCTACGTGATGAGAGAGAATTGCATGTATTGGGCCTGGGCGTGAGTCTTTCCGAGGGAGCCTGCAGGTGTACCCGGGCAATTAGGGGCGCCAACTTGGTCTCCGGGCATCACGGGTTGCCAACTAGGTTCGTTTGCGCTATTTGCTTTGATATGATAACTAACTCCCTTTCCAAGAACTGTCTAAGGAAACAGTCGACTAACTAAAGATGTCTGACTAGGTAGATGCCCATCGTCCCTCGGGACCTCCTGTACTTGGCCGTGCGCCCGTCTTCTTCCCCCAGACGGGATGCATCCGCGCCCAGAACATGCCTAAACTATTCTATTCCACAAGCACGGCCCAGACCTTTTCCAAGTCACCAAGAAGCTTGACGGAGTCCCAATGTCCATATGCACGGCAGAAAAGACATCGCAATGGCACACCACGCTGCCGGCCGTGGGAGAGGGCCTAGTGGCCAGCTGTCCGGGCCTGCAGCCAGGCTCCTTGGGACCTGCCCACACTCACGCCCAACATTATTCTTCTTTCTTAGGAGATATGTGTGCATTTGCCAGCATTTTGCTGAAGGCTAAGACACCCAATGGGAAAAAACCATCTCAAACACAGTTCCCTCATGGGTGAAATCGCGACTGTTGCGTGCCGGCACATGCCGTCGCGTGACCCCGTATAACGGTCGTGAGATGAGGAGGGGAAGTAACTCCCATCCCAGCCTGGCTGGCAGCGGTCCCTTCTATGGGACCGCTGTCGAGACGTACGTTGTTTTCAGCCCTACTCATCTGAGTGTGATGGCCACCTTCAGACTAACGCTGGTGCATCTGGTGCTGCGGCCGCATCTGGTGCTGGAGGTGGTGCTGCTGTCTCGCCCCGCTCCATGGTCCGTATTGCCTGGAACCCGAAGCCGATGGTCCGCAACAATCGTCTCTTTTCTACAAGAAGGGACGGCTGCGAATGAGTGGCTCAACCGTTTTCAGGCCATCGCCCAACAGCCCATGCAGCAGCAGATGGGCGGTGGCATGCCTGCACTGCAGCGCACCCTCGGCGTCGAGGAGTTCATCAGTTACGGGTCGCAAACCAGGCATCGCCAATACCCTGGCCTAGATTTTAATTGACTTCAAATGTATTGTCAAGGATATCTCCGAGATGGGTGGGATGAAAACCCCCTTTCTGATAAATCTCCAAGCACTCGACCCTTCGTATCAAGCGACTGGTAATACCGGCACGGTCGGGAGAGATCGATATGAACCACTACAACCTCATCTCGCGCGACCTCAGCAGCTGCCAGACCTTGAACGCTATCCACTGCTGTGGTCGGGCGTCCAGGCACAACCAGACTGTCGCATATTGGTTGCTTAGTCTGAAGTCGACATTGGACCCAGACGAGTAGTGCTGGACTGTGGATAGCAAGTTAACTGTTTCGATGCAAATCAACATACTCATATCATCGATCTTGTGGATATAAAACCGTCGCAATAAATATTGTTGCGAGACTTGTGCCCCCTTTCGGGTGCTTCCAACTCTGGTGAAGGAGTGTCGGGTGCGAGAGCTGAACGTTCAGTACGGCGTTCTGCAGTCGCCGTCTTTACTCTTTAAATACATCTGGGAGATGGCCAAAGATTAGGTCTACTTCTTGGACTGTAGCATGGTTCCGACAACAGCATCGCTACGTCAAATCCTGCGACGTAGTACGCGATGAGTTCTTGGATGTGCACTCGTCATGATGGACAGCACGACTGTCATTGCTTCGGACCCATTGAGCGGCAAGACCACAAGCAAAGACCGCAACCTCCGCATATATGCGGCCTTCCCGAGTCTGATGAAACAATCTGACTATTTCAACACTGGGGCTCCTTGTTCATATTGCTCGTAGCGGGTTACGACTACAGTACGTGCAGGCGCACGGGAAAGGGTTCCCATTTGAGAGGCCTGGCGAAACCGGATCTTGGTAAGCTGGGAATCGATTGGGTCCAGCTCAGCATGATTGAGAAAACGTCAAACGACATAGCTCCGGGCAGCGGGGAATATTGAGCTTGCTCAGATGTTGTTAGCATATGAGAACTTGCTTCCCGCGAAGCACCGAGCCCGCAGTGGCATGGCACGACACGACACGGCGAGGTGTAAACCACTTTCACGATAGGCCTGTTGGCCACCCTGGGACATCATGGTCTTGTGGCCATTCTGCCGAAGGGGCTCTCCCTGGTGCGCTCGCACTGCCCCTATAGACAATTCTGATCTCGGTACGATCGGGCGGGGACATCAAGATCGAACTGCACAACGAAACCAGACCGACCCAGCCAGTTCCCGATCGGTGTCAGGAGCTGTGTTACAATAACATCTCCCACCCCCCTGCGGACCACCCCCCCGCGGACCAGCGCGTTCTGACCCACAAACGCGTAATTCACCAACCACCAGGATTATGGTGATCCACCATCTACACCATCACTTTTGCATCTTTTTTTTCATAAAGTACACTATTTGAATCCTTATCCACTGCTGAATCTCATGATGTCATTTTACGACTGTCAAATAAAAGCTGAAGCCGCCATTTTGGCCATCCAACGCGGAGCTCCAGTCCGCTCGTCAGCCCTCGAATGGCAAATCAGTCGCTCGTACGTCAACCAACGAATCTCTGGCACCCCAACGCGGAATGAGACCAGCGCTCTCCAACAGGCTCTCTCACCGTATCTCGAACATAAGCTGGCAAGCTGGGCCCTAGGGCAAGCACGGCTAGGGTATTCTCCGGCGGTCTCTAAGTTCCGTCTCATGGCCCAGCGGATGCTCCATGCCACCGGGGATGCTCGAGAATTAGGGAAAAATTGGGCATCCAAGTTCCTGTCTCGAAACCCGGAAGTCAAGATAATGAAGTCTCGTATTATTAACTATAACCGAATGAATGGTGCTATAGCGGCAAATATCAACATTTTTTTCGATCGGTGTGACGCCCCTGACGTGGTTAACCTCATGCCAGCACGCTGGTACAACGTCGACGAAATGGGAATCGCCCAGGGGGTTGGGGACTCCCATTGGGTGGTCTCCGAGGCCTCCGGCAACGTGGCTATGAAGAAAGGGGTCGAGAAGGGTGAATGGATAACTGCCCTAGAGTGTGTGAGCGGATCTGGTGAGACCTTGCCGCCACTGGTGATTCTCAAGGGGGTTAACGTACAAGCCCAGTGGTTTAGCAACCAAAACGAGGGCAAATTCACCGACTGGAGGTTTATTACGTCGCCCAATGGATGGACCTCGAATCCCATTGCGTTAGAATGGCTTCAATGTATCTTTATTCCTCACATTCGGGAGGTCCACGGCAACACATGGGTGGTTTTGGTGTGTGATGGCCACGACTCCCACACGAATAACGAGTTCCTAGCCACCTGATTGAGAAACAAAGTATGGTTGATCTTTTATGAACCTCATTGCTCCCATATAGTCCAGGTATTAGATGTGGGAGTCTTCAATTTGGTGAAAAAAAGGTTAATGACCTTACTCCAGGAGACGCCCAGCGGCCGTCTGGGACTCAGGCCATCTAAGGAAGAGGTTTTGGAGTGCTACGAGCAGGCCCGGAAGGACATAATGACGCTCCTCAATATTAGAATTGCCTAGAAAAAGACTGGGATTGTTCCTCGCAACAGAGCAGAGGCATTGAAATCGAAATATGTGATTCTGGAGGACAAGGGGGTGGCCAGGGCACGCCAGAGGGACCCTAAGGCTTCCGAGCGAGCCACAACACCAGATTTTCTCGAGATGGTAGCTAAAACCATTGTCACAACACCCTCTGGAAGCCGGGCTTTACGGGAGAGTGCTCAAAAGCTCGAAAGAAAGGACCCTTCTTTTGGGGGGCCCTTTAAGCGCTTGTTGGTGCGAAAGGCTGGCAAGGCCATGGATATTCAGGCTGCTATCATTACAAATCTACGGGCTAAATGTGAGCTGCTTGAGGCTCAAGTGGCTAAAAAGGCTAATACCACTCAAAAAGCAGTCAAACCAACACCAGGGGAACGATTCGTCACAATGGCTAACATAAGGGAGGCCAAAATGGAGCTGAGGAACAAGAGGGTCTATAGGGACTCCGCTGCAGGCGAAGAGGTCCCACAAGAGGTCCCTGGTGAAGATTTAGGGTCGGAATCGGATTCTGGGAGCTGTATTATGGTTAGAACACCACGACCTTAGTGTATTTAGCAACTGTGGTGGTTGTAGATGGCTTCATCTGAATGAGAGTGGTGTGGTGTGGAGTGGTCCGTGGGGGGGGTGGTCCGCAGGGGGGGGGGGTGAGATGTTATCCTGGTTCCTGCGAACACTTCGTTGATCTGGAGATGCGGCTTTACCTTCGTCCCCGAATAGTTCACATCGCCTGGTGTGGAGTTCACCTTTTCACTTATACACATCGCGACTGCTCAGAAGAGTGGTCTTAATCAACAGAGCCAGGCGCCACTGCCATGGCCTACACCTAATTACATTGTAGGGTGTTCGGGGTTAAGTGCAGTGTTCAATCAAAGGGACAACAAGATGCTCAACTATCGGCACCACCCGGGTGCTCTGCAAACGCGGAGCTTGGACGAGTTCTGCAGCGAATGGTTTACCGAACAGAATGATTGATAGCATGGCAATCATGTTTTCCCGATATGGAGACATGACACGCGAACATCACCCTGGTATTACCGGGCGTCGTGAAGACAAACGGTGCTGCATGGAAAGAATGTTGGAATGGGGCCATACACGACCATTCAAGTATTCGACATCGACGCCTCGGTGGCTGTACTCTGCATAGAAATCGTCATATTCATTGCGATGATTTCGTATCTGCCTCCTGTTGCACAGCTACCGAAATCGCCGGACAAGGTGGCCAAGCCTGATCCGATCCAATGGCTGCGCACGAATAATATGTTCAATGTCGACCTGAGCTCTTCAAGCTCCCCAAAATATCTCCCCATCAAGGGACGGTCCAGCATGACATTAAACTGCATTCAAAGACGATGTCGCTGCGGAGGCGTTGGATATGACGGAACCCTTGCCCCAAGAGGTACACGACCGACACCTCTGGTCCGAGGAGCTTGTCGAGAACATTGGCATTGTTTCTCTCAAGTCAGAGGATTCCATAGCGAAGGGTCCTCGTTAAGTGATGAACCTCGACGGTGGCGATTAAGATGTCACCGTCCCTCGTGTCGGCGAGAAGCGCAAGACGGACGACGAAGATCTTCGTGACGAGGTCAAGCGCCTGCAGATTGGAAACGGCGGCCTTCGAGGCAAGATCGACGGGATGATGCGCATTCAACAGCAGTTTCAGCAGCGAAATTCCTTCTCGCCACCGGCTCAGCTGGGGTTTTCACGCGACATCATCCCAAGGGGCCAAGTCATCGTGATTGACGATGAAGACGAGGCTGGCATCGAATAAGAGTCCGCGGTCGCAACTCAGGACTCGCTTGACGATGCGTCAGGCCAAACATGTGGTGGAAAAATAGACTGATGTCCATCCGGCACTCCCATTTCGCACTGGCTGTGCCTCTCCATATAGTCCCTCGTGGCCCGCAAAGACCACAAGCTCGGACGACCCGAATACCGAAACCAGGAAACCAGTGTTATGATTGGAGCCTACGAGAAACAGTCTCCCGCAGCTGTTGCCATATTCTCGTCCCAGTCCACCTTCGCCCCCCGCCTCTTCAGCCAGTCCGTCACCACAGACACCCGCAACGACACAGGGTCGGAGATCCCGACCCAGCGCCCATATTCACGGTTTGTCCGGCATGCCACCGGATATTCTCTGTATAATATGGACAGTAGTCATGGCTAGATGGCTTAGAGTAGATGTGCATTCTGTATAACTCGGCAGACCCTGTTGGCAAAAGAAGCTACGGTGCAGCTCCGTCTGCGTCCGGCGCTGCTTCTGGTCTTTCTCCTTCCGCCTCCGAGTCTGCCGCTAGTAATGCTACGTCTGGCTGTGCCTCTAGGCCTGAGTCCCCCGCTTCAAGAACCAAAACGGGGCTCCCGACCTAGCGACCAAGCCCCGGATTTATCCAGGCCCGGGTTATTCTTTATACAACCCGGACAGCCGCCGTGCCTGGCCTGTACTGAGCGAGTACACTGACTCTAACTCGAAAGACCCTTCTGATAGAGGAGGCTGCTGCTCGTGCAGCTTCTGCTAGCCCTGCTGGCCCTGCTGGTCCGTCATTTACCACTGGCCCATCTTTTACCACTGGTCCATCTTCTGCGGGCTGCCTTCACCCCGCGCAATAAAGGGCATGTATAAAAGACACGACTGCATACTGTGAAACTCTCAACAAAGCGAGCCTTTAATCTCCCCACATCAGCCGGGGTGAGTATGCGGCTGGGGTTATGCCGAGCGGATTTGTATACCTCCAGAGAATTGGAACACCGAGATGAACGACACATTGGGTCCATCGCCCGAGATGACCAACGACATTCAGATGTCCGAGGGCTTACGAGTTGTGCTGCCCGCCATCCATCATCCGATCCAATGTTGTTCTCGTCCTGTTGGCATCCCTAATCTCCTCATTGCCTACCTACTGCCTACTGCCTACCTACGTACGCATACCTTGTTCCAATGCCCAATTCCCCAGTAAAGCGCTTTCTTCTTCATCCCATCTTTCCACATGCCATTTCGATCCCTTCGCCGCCCGACCCTGATGGAGAATCGGTTCCTAGGAGGAATCACCGATATAAGCAAAATCTGCCAATCAAACCACCCCTGACGCCCGGGAACAAACTGAGTTGGCAGCCCGTGGTACCCGGTGTCATTCAAGGTGATTGGAAGGAGTACCAGCCCCAGTGTAGTCTCTCAACTTTCACAGCAAGCCCGAGAGGCGTCTTCGCAATCGCTGTTGCATTGATGTCCACTGCGGCCGAAGTTGCTAATTCGCTGTAAGACCCGGCAAGAGGACGCTTGCGAAGACACCGCCTGGATGGTCAACGTCAACCGCGAATAGTGTGCGGGCAAGGCCGCGGCATAGGCGCCTGAGAAGCTGGCCCAGCCTCGGCCCAGCAACGTGTCCAAGTACGGCGAGGTGCTGACGCCGACACAGTACGGCCCACCGTTCGTAATGCAGCCGCTGGCGAGCAACCCGAGCGAGTCAGAGATGAAGGGGCGGATGGCGACAACATGAAGGTGGCCGAGGGGCGTAAGTCCTACATGCGGGCCAGGAACAACTACGCTCCTCGCTAGAGCCGCGCGTCGGATGCTGGAGGGACATTGCCCAATGGCCTGTGCCCCAAGTTCGAGCATTAATTCAATGCTCCCGTTCACGGCTTCACGCAATACGGCTAACCGGTGCGCTGGAAGGTCATCGACCTGCCGACCTGGGGTCTACCGGCCAAGCGCCAACGTCTGATCATGAGTGGTGCCTGTCCCGGCGATGATCTGCCTTCTTACCCTTCGACCACACACTCTGAACATCCCCAGCCAGGCGATGGCACCAGGCATGGGTCACTGTCAAACAGCTGCTGGACAAGATCCCACATGGTCTCGCACAACGGGACGACATGCGCAAACCGGACAAGATGGCCGTCAAGACCCAACCATCTTGTGTCAAACAGTGCGTAGGGTCATTCAGATAGCCGGCAAGCCCACGTCAGAGGTCAGCTATATCGAGGCCCTTTCTTTCGTTGAGACCGAGGAAGAGATGGGCGTGCGACTGGCGCAGCACCTACGCCAGAGAAAGAAGGAGCAGCGCGAGTACCTCGCCGGCCAGAAGAAGATGGAACGTCAGTACCTTGGACGACGATTCCAGTGGGTGAAAAAGTGTATTCGGGTGTATTGCGTGTACGCTGTTATATCTGGTGTGAATCCTGCAGTGGGCCAAGTGGCCAAGAAATGCCCTATTGGCTTTACTTGGTGCACTGCCACCTCCCTGAACGCCACGGTGGCTTGCGCGCCATCTAATACCTTGGAACCCCAACGTCTTTTTGAACAGCTGTATCACGACCAACGCCTCAACCGCGATGGGTGAGTGGTGGTGGGGTGTTTGAAAGAAGACCCTCGTATGATCAACCTCAACCGCGATGGGGTTGTGGCGGTCCAATCTGGAGGAGGATACGTCGAGACGATGAACTTCAATCGTGATGGGTGTGCGGTGAAGCCGCAATTCTAGGTGACATCAGGCGCTCAGATGAGGAGGATAATCCAGTTGAGCAGGTTTCGACCGCTCGGGCTGCTGATGTTGCTCGCCAGCACAAGATAATGTAGCCTGACTACAGGTACAAGCCGAAGAAGTCCAAGAAAGACAAGGGGCCCAAGAAGCCCAAGAAGTCTAAGAAGGGCACCAAAGCCCAGAAGGCCGCTGTAACTGCTACCAGGGTCAAACGAAGAGACCATCTCACAAGAGCAGATGGCTTTAGGTGGCCTTCTCCGCGACTGTGGAGCATATAGACCTCGGTCGGGATATTCTCCTGCTCGAGTCCTGTCTGCAAGTATGGAGACTACTCAGAGTGGTCCGCTTGCTCAGCAAGATTGAGCCCATCGAGCGATACGCCTCGAGGCTCACACCTGGCACGTCGTGGGGTTTACACACAGGCTCATTCCAAGAAGAAGATCCCTTACAGATTCTCTATGGAGACGCCCCTTGATGATCCTCGCGGTCTCTGCCGCCGGTACACCCTTCCGAGCAAGTACCGTGGTAACGATCGCGTTCGCCTGGGGTTCTTGCAGGTGTTCAACACGAACCGCGCCTACAACCGTGCCCTCATTGGATATTTCCACAAGTCAGCCCAACCCAACCCACTCAGAACACGAGGAAGTTTCTTGAGTACGTCTCCAGCTTCCGGCGACTCAAAACGATCACATCGATGGTGCTGTCTGGCACATATCACGATCAACCCTCAACCGCGATACTTAGGGGGTTCCTGCCCGTTCGCAAGATGTAACCTCTCAAATTCGGCAATGTGCTATGCACCAAAGCTACAGGGGATGATCAGACTCAATCGCGATGAGTATGTGATCTTGGGTCGCTGAACGTCATCAAGACGGAGGGTGCTTTTTGGGAGGAATGTTGAAGAAGGGCCATGTATACAGCATCGCAAAGCTGGAGGCTCGCTTCAATGGTCGCCTTACGCACCAGTACGATTGGGTCTTCTTCTGTAACGAGGAGTTCACCGACAAGTTCAAGCAAACTGTCGCCAAGGCTACCAGTTCCCAATGCTACTTTGAGGTGATCTTCGAAGAGCACTGGTGTGTCCCATCCCGGTCACTGTGGTTTTCGACGTCGATGATACATGCACCCTCGTCACCGTTGCTGTCCGCATTCACACATACTTGACTCTTGTCCGTTGCGCCGGTAGAATCACCATCCCGTTCACCATAATGGTCATCCAGCAGGATCAGCAGTTTGTTGCCCAATTCCACAACGCCATGGCCTACATCACGACGCGTCGGCGATCACCCACCGCCGCGCTGCACTCTGCATGGAGATCATCGTCTTCATCTGCGATGGTTTCTTAGTGTTCAAACTCCCCATAAAACACCCCGCCATCAAGGGCCGGGGCAGCATGACATTAAACTGCAATGACCACAATTAGATGTCAGGGAAATCGAGCGCAGTTTCCATCAGGACAGCAATGCCGCCGCTGCCGCGCCTCCCATAACCCTTCCTCGCAAACATTTTCCTAGTCAAAAGGATGAAAAAAAAGCAATCTCTTTCATCTATACATTTTCTAGCTACCCTTATGTCATTCATCACTCAAGCTACTTCCCCCCTTTACAACGACCTTCACTTACATTACACATTCATCCTTTTATCTATCTACCCAAATTCCTTCCCTCACACAACTTAGTTTCGTCCGTCAGCATCTAGCTCTACTTATGTTCCCCATATGCTGTATGTCGAGTCTCCATCGAGGCTCGCAAACTTGAAGTTTTTCGAGCAACATGCAGGAAAAATGATGGAGAAGGAAGGTCGTAACATCGATTGCTTAGAAAGGATGGTTACGGAGGGATGGTTAAACACCATCCAGCTCGGCGTCAAGCAACGTGTTTACATCAGATGGCATGAGCACCTGGAATAAGTGACCATTCCAGGGGTCATAGCTTGGGATAATCACCGAAAAGCTGCTTATTCCACTACCTCCCTTTCGAATCCCGGACATAATCTTAGACAAAGACCCTGACAGCAACCCGGACAGCCAGGTGTTTTTCTTACCACGGCCTTCTCTTCTGGATTGGACAGATTCCTCTTGACACCAAACCGGCTGAGCGATGACGCGAAGCTCTAGCGGAAGCCAATGCAAAATGTCTCCTCTGGGAACCTACGGGTCTTACAACTCTTTGGAGAAAGACCAAGGAGTGGGCGTGACCGGATCTGCACCGACCGAGACTCTTCTCGCGTCGATATTCGAGGCATGCAGCCAAGTTACTGCAGCCGAAGCCAGCATGATGCCTTAAATCAGCACCGATAGAGCGTCCGCGGGTGTCCCGAGCCCTTCAGCTCAACCCCTGTGTTGCTGTTGCAGAGTTCCCGGGCCAATCACCGCGGCTATGGCCCCGACACATAAGTGCCAGTCCAGCCCAGTCATTGGCACCCGCGAGATCCATCTTGGCGGAGCAGTTGTGCTTCAACTGTGTGGAACTGGTCATGCGAATCATAATGCGTACAGGTCGACCCCTGAAATAATGTTCCTTGCACAGGTTTCGACAGGGGGCCTTGTCAAGTACCGGTATAATAGGCTCAGCGCTCCTCGAGTCTTGAAAATACTTCGATTTTCCTCTCAACTCATGCGTTCTCAAGCGTTTCAAACAAGTAACCAATGGTTCCCGCCGGTACATAGTCCTCCCCCCTGCCGGTACCTGTGCAAGGAACATTATTTCTGGGGTTGACCTGTACACTGCGTGGCTGAACGGTACTCTGCCAATCAACAGCAACTTCAACTTCCAGAACTTAGCTTAGCTCGAAAAAAGCGAAGCTTGCGCTACCTGGGTGCTGTTGGACACGACTACCTTGAGTCATGGAGCCTCGATGGTGGTGACCAATATGTCACCATCTCCCAGTTGAGCCGTATAAAAGTGGACCTAGGTTCGCTTCCTATCAGCGCTAGCTGGTGCTTTCGCTTTTGGCTCATCTCTCCCGTGACATTGGGGTGACCATAGTCCTCGACGGCGACAACAAGGGCCATGATGAGAAACCTTTCATCCATCAGGCACCAGAGGCAACAATCTCGAGAGGATTCGGCGACTATTATCCGCGATGTCGTCGGGTCCGAAGTATCCAACTGGTTGGGCCGTCAGGGAGCGCGATTGTCATCTCACCGTCCGCCCAGCCAAGCCAAGCAGTCAATAGCCGCGGTGAGCGCGTGACCAAGAAGACTCTACGCGATTGAAAGGGGAAGGTGAAAAAGTATACACATCTTCCTTCTTCCACCCAGCGACTCACAACCCCGCAGCATGGCTCCGACAAATGTTCAGTCCCTCCGAGGGGTCCATATTGATGCACATGGAAACGGAACCGGCTGGGTTGACTTGACGGGCCTGCGAGCCACAGGCTGCACGCAAATCAAGCGATATAATGTCCGTCAGCAGCTTGATCGACTTGAACATGAGCATGCCGGAGCCAATAATCCTATGGCCTGTTTCGCCAGAAGACGTGACTTCGCATCGCACATGTTGCTATGCAACGAGTTCAAGGCCTTCATCTGTAAAGTTCCGCGCCCTTCACCCGACTGTGTGCTCGCCTTTTGCTTCCTAGCCGACGAAAGGCTAACCGAGCTTGCCTGGGTAACTCCCTTACCTTTCATAGTCAACGGTTCGACCTGGCGTCGACATGCGGATAAAGAGCTTTGAAGCCGGGTGTTCGTTATTGGAGTAACATGCGACAGAATCAGTACATCGACCGCAAACCCTACGTGGGCCGTGGTTAGCACCGTTGCAGTTCGACTCCCGAAAAACAAGGCTCTTGCTCCCCTTTATCTCGATTTGCACGCCGAACCGGCCATGGGCAAGACATGTATATTATTGAGGTGGGTTGGTGCAGACTTCTTCGTTACGAAGCATCACAACATGAGCGCCCGGCTAGTCTCTGTATAGCCTGGACAATGGCCGTAGCTGAGTGATTCGGAGCAGATAGACGTCTTCTGTCACTCGCCAGACCCTCTTGTCATAGGAAGCTGCTGCTCATCCGCCGTCTGCCGCTGCTCAGTCTGAGGCGGCAACTTCTGCTATTTTGTCGGTATATACGAGGTCGTTGCCTTTTCAGGTGGAGACTGGGTGCATGACGGTTATGCTCCCCCCTGAATCACGAGTCCATGAGGTCTTGGACATTCCACCTTCCAAACAGCTACAGTCTGTACCAGCAAGGCAGCTCATGTTCGCTGATGTTCGCATATGTTCGCAATCAGCAGCAGAATACGATATCCGGACGCTCGACAGGCAGTGCTATGTCGCTACAAGCCACTGAACTTCTCCGGGACTGTCAAGCTCATGCATACGAGCGTCGTGAGTGACATGACGAGAGGGACCGACCCATCCTATGCAAGTAAAGAACCGCAAATATGGTATTGGAACCAACACGACCCGAGCCGAGCCCGGCATTGCTCGACGATAAAATGATTAGCGAATTCGAGCACCTAGGCACCGAACACCTCGGGGAGGGTGGCGACTACAGCCTGGTAGAGATTGTAAAAGCCGCGGAATGCTTCAAGCGTGTAAGGTCATCCTGGTTGCCCTTCTGCCCTGTACACAAAGACCTAGTCACTTACTCACACGCAACTCAGGTTATCAATGCCTGCGCCTGTAAGACGAAGCTCAGAGACACCCGACCTGCTGGACGATTAAAGACTATACGGCGTGTACGCTAAGTTGGCTGTCTGCTGTGCGCCCTCCTGCACCTCTTTCTAGATTTACGGCACAAGGGGTCTCCTTCCACTGCCAAGTCGATTCGGACTGGTGACCAGTCATTCATGTGGGTCTGGTGTGACAATGGTAGAGCATTGACCCGGAAGGTCGGGTCGAGAGTGATATCCTAACTCCCTCAGGAGAAACTGAGGGGGATCTGCTACAGATCTTTCAGACCCAAACCCAGAACCCTCACTTCCATGATGCTAGCAAGGACGAGGAACACGTCCTGAAGATGCAGATGTAGGGACTGAACGCGCCGTACCGTACTCCGTTGATCAGGGAGCCCCTGCGAGCTGAGCTGCGCAAGTACACGGTCGAGCAAGGTGAGCTCAAGGATGCTGACGAGCCCACGCGCGAGCGTGTATACCCGCCCGTCATACTTCTTGCCGGAACCAATACCCGAAGACTTCAGGTACCCCGAGCTGGCGTCGGCTCATCCGGACTGCTGGTTGGTGGAGCATATGCGGTCAGAGCCAGCATTGGTGTTGGCATTGCGGTCACCAGCGGACTGAGCGCGGGCTGCGAAGCCGCTGGATGCCATGTTGGCGCCGCTAGTGGCCTGGTGTCACACGTGATGTTAGCCGACTAGGAATGAACGAGAGGAAAAGAGTCAACGGGGTGGAGCGCCCCCGAAGCCGTTCTGCTCGAGCGCGTAGGCATGCGACAAGGGCACTACGAGGGCGCCAACATGGTCCACAGCCAGTTTGTTCAGGAGACGTGAGAAGGAAAGCGGAGTGACTACGATGAGAACAACCATTGTCGGGTCCAGCATAACCCTAAAAGGCACTTAGGGGTGGTTACTGGGGATATTGATATTATCTAACTACCGATGTCATCGAAGATGTTATAATGTGGTCAAAGGCGGCCCCAAGAACTGGCTCAGCTATCCGCATTTTAGCTGCAAGCGGCACCCTGGCAAGGGCTTCACTCGGCTGGAGAACCTTGACGATCACGCGATCGACGATGACGAGGAGCTGGTTGAGACTCTCGGCCTTGGTGCGAGCCCGCGCGTTACTGACAAACGCAAGCCGGACGGCCCTGACCCCCGCGACGAGGCCAAGCGCCTTCAGAATGAGAACGGAGGCCTCTGCGCACTGGTGACCGAACCAGCTGTCAACCTGCCTAGTGGCGTCTCCCCAATCGACCAGCACGAGTTTGACGCCGGCTGCGGACGTGGAGATGATGCGTCAACCCACAACGGCCGCAGACGCTACCGGTCCCTTCAAGCCCTCGCCCCATCACTGTCAATGATATCTAGTACAGATATATACTTTCCCACCTGTAGAGATCGTGGCTGCGACGCGTCCCATGGATATGCCTAGCCTCCTGATTGGAGAGGAGACTGGGTGCTGGACTTACTTCCAGCTACAAGTTGAAGCGGCATTGTTGGATATCCTATTCATCCTGGTCTGTCCTGTCCCAAGAATGGCCAAAGGTTTCTTCGGCCACATGAAGAACGCTCTGCGGAGACTTCTGTCATACGGCAGGCCGGATAATAATGCGAAGAATCGGGTATGGACAGCTGACGACCTTAAAGAGCCGGCCGTTTTTCAAACGCGCTCTCGAGCTAACCATAAGAGTCAAGCTGGGAGCTGCGAATGACATCACCAAGCTGCCGCATCCACAGATCGACCGTTCGCTCGTTCCAGATAAGAAACTCCTTGCCTGAGTTACCAACACCGATTACGATTTCCACGTAGCGGCCGAGCCGACCGCCATGAGTAGTCTTCTTGACAGACATTTGCTACAAGGCAAGCACTCGCAGGGCAAAGGGCGGGCTTACGTTTGTTTCCCTTACGAGGAATAGCAGCATGGGCAGGAGGATGACGAATGAATAGATCCAAGACCCAAACGAGGTCAGGGAAATTACGCGGATGTTCGGGGAGCAGAAGATGACCGTCCGTGAGCGGGAAGCGGAACTGAACCGAGTCAAGGAAGATCTCAAGTCAGACAGGGACAGACAAGAGAGACCCGCCAGTCTAATGTACCGCGCAGCTCGAGACTTGATGTCTTATAAGAGGCTCGAGACGAGTGCCAGCGACTGAGTACGAGGGATACAGGGCAGAGGGATAGCCATGAACTCTGGGTTCATTGGTAAAGGCATGTTCTCATATGCCAAACCAGCAGCTGATGTCTTCTGCTAACAAGAGAGAAGGAGGGTTATAGGTGGTGGGCCACCCGCGCATACTTTTCCCGGCAACAACGTTTAACGCAACCGGAAGGGAAAAAGATAAGAGATAAGGAAAACGGGACGGAACGGCACACAAGTTGAAAAAAAAAGGGGGCCCCATGTTCTCATGCTCTCTTCTGATCAAGAAGATGTGCCCGCCCGTGTTCATATTAGAGCAGACATACGGGATCTTGTCTCCCAGGTTCGAGCACTACATCGTGTTCTTCAAACTCCCCCAAAAACGTCCCCCCATCAAGGGCCGGTCCAGCATGACCTTAAAAGGCAATAATAACGATCACCGAGGATGGAATACTCGAGGAATATACCAAGTTGGAGTTCTCAAGATCCGAGAGACGAATGCCAAGTCTCTCACCGAATTCAAGCTCCCGAGCCTGTGAGTAAGCGACGTAGCCACTTACATGGCCACACGCGTGGCGGGAAACCTGAAGCGTCGTACGTTATATTTAAGGGAAAGCCTCCGTTTCACTTTCGCTCTGAGACAAACAAAATGGGGTTGCCCTCGCAGGGGGACAATCTTGAAATTCCTAGCCAAGGACATCACGTCTGGGCCACCCTCGTCGACCTGGACACAAATGGAACCGATCAACCCAGAAGGAGGGAGGAAGGCTCATGAACCTGTGGCAAGCGCACACTGAGCGTGAAGAGCAGACGAAGAAGGACCAGCTGCTTGCTCGAGAGAGAGCACGACAGCATGGTGTTGTGACAACCAGGCCTGCAGCTGCGCTGGTCAGGGCTGATGGGATGAAATATTCAGATTCAACGATATCTAAGGAAGAAGAGGCAAGGTCGGAAGAGAGAGGGGAAGCTAGGGGTATATATGTACATGAATATGTGGAGGTATTATGTAATACCGTAACAGGTGTAGGCGAATCAGAAGATACCCATTAAATCGGCAGCCACTCCGATACCCCGAAGACAGGCACTTCCGCCACCGTGATTACGTACGCTGCCCAGCAGCTCGTCAAAAACGTGCGTCGGAAAACTTTGACCTGAAACGCTACCAGCAAGCTCGGGATGATGCCCTCGCTTGTCTTATACGAAACGATGACACGAAGAAGAATCCAAATATCAGAGCGCCCTATCAAGCCGCGCACGCGTCTCTTGAGCTGCAGCAGTATCCGTCTCCGACAACGAGAGCGAGAAGTTCAAGAAATCTTCGTTCTTTCAAGTCATGCGACGGATTGCGTCTCAAGAGCTTGCTGTTCAGGACAGAGACTTGGTCGAGCATGCCAGAGCTGAAGATGCCAGTTTTGGGCGAATGTCAACGGTATCCAGATGTCAGATTCCATCGCAGGATCAAAGGTGGACGCGGTGAATCGATTCCGTGCGCACTAGGTGCCGTCTCCTCCGCGCTTGGAGGTGCGTGGACTGGGTCGACGGCGGGGAGCGAGAACGACGCCGAATTCTGCGTTGGTGACGCGCTGGCTGGCTCCGGTCGTGGTCGTGGTCCACCGGTAAATCGATCGCGAGACCGAAACCGCAACCGAGGAGGATAGGTTGCGATGCGAAGTGAATTGAGAACATATCACCAGAAGCAGAACCTACCGCCACCGCCGCCGCTGCTGCTGGGCGCAGAACCATGACAAGCCAGATTTCTTCCGGGGCAGGGAAGCAGGGCGCAGTGGCTACAACCACGGGGTAAATTGACACCTTGACCTCGAATGGAATGGTTTCGTATAAGCAGACAAGCCGATCACGACCGTTCCAACCGGGTCCTGCAGGCACTGCGCCGCACCCGCTCTTTGTCCGGTTCCAGCAACGCCGGATGTGGTAGACGAGGAGTTCTACATCTGGACGGCCTCCAGGTCACCCATCGCTTTCCTGGTAACTCTCGGCATCGTCTTTTGTTTCTCAACCAGGCCAGCCAGGCACCAGACTCGGCCTCATTTCGTCAGGACGCCAATTGTTTTTCCTTCGCTTTGATCTCGAGAGGGTGACGATGGTATTCAGTCACCAAATGCTGTGGCCTGATCCGAGTACGTTAACTATAACAACATGTCGTTCTTTACCCGCGTTCCATTCCCTACGAAAATTATAGGCTTATCATGAGAAATGACAGAGGTGACTGATCGAGCACCATGCTTGAAGGAGAGACTTTAAGATATGTAGCTTAACTTTTTTTTAGGTGTGTTTGGTCGCTTTAAAAATCTGCTGTTGACTGGCTAGGTATATAGCTAGAAAAGACCTTGTCCTTGCCTTGCAAGATTACATCTCCGCGTTTCGGAGTTGTAGAATTCGCAGCACCATCTTCGCTCGGGCTTGGAGTGGATCGAGACCGCCTTGTGCGTTTGAAGGTGTCAGCGATCGAATGTTGGTTCGATCGGAGGTGGCGCGCTACCGATCCTCGGCCGGCACCTAGCTGATACTCCTTCTCCCGTTCTCTGCCATGCCTATGACCCGCAAGGCCACCGCTGACGGCCCCCATCTATCCATTCGGAGACTTGAAATCAAAATGCCAAAGCGTCTTGGCGATCACGAGGCTCATCTTGAGATATGCCATGTTCTTCCCGGCGCAGTCACGATAGCCGATGGAGAATGGTGCAAAGGAATCACGCATGACCTTCCTCTCAGCTTCGGTTGTTTCAGACGCGAGCCATCGCTCCGGAACGAATGTGTGAGCATCCGGAAAGTGTTCCTCGTTGTTGGTGAAGACTATATGTGTTGACGCCAACTTGAGTGCCTGGCGGGATGACGTGGCCGTCCACCACGAATGCGTTGCCGTCGCCTGGCTGAAGCTCTCTCCACATGGTGCCTGGTACGGGTGGTGAAATGCGCATGGTCTCGTCGATGCATACTCGCAGAGATTGGCAGTTTGCTGGCTTAGGCCCAAACCGAATGTTAGCGGCCGTTTCAAAGGCGCCCCTTATCTCGTGGGACAGGCGTTGGTAGCATTTCGGATAACGGGATAGGTAGAAGAAGAGAGCGCTCATCGTTGTGGACGTGGAGAAGGCCCCTAAAAATGAATCAGCATCTCTGCCATCCGCATGACGACTATGTCCCGGCGATCTTGGAAAGACCACCTTGCATCACCAAAATGAGTTGCTAAGCGCTTACCAGCTGGAAAGAATGTCACAGCTTCGGACCACATCTCTCTCATCCGAATACCGTCTCCTGGGTCTGTGGCCTCGTCGTTTGCTTTGGAGACTATCGAATAGAGGTCGTGTCGAATGTGTCTATCCTCAGAAATCCTGAAGCTTATTATCTTTTCAACAAGTTCCTTGTATCGCACTCTCATGGCCTTGGCTCAGAAATGGAGAGCTGATCCGAGGCGCAATTGATGTAGCCGAAAGAACTGCATGTGAGTATTGACATAGGAGTTGGCTGTCGCCATGCCTTTGCACATAAACCGGTGGGTTTCGTCTGTCTGAAGGTTGAGAGGGTACCCAAAGGCAAGCAAGCTGACGATGTTGCACGAAACGTATTCGAGGCGGACGGCCATGTTGACAGGGACTGCCCTGCCATCCTTACAGGATGTATAGAGCAAGTTGACGAAGGTGTCGACTTGACTCGCTATGACAGGCTCGAAAATGCGCATGGATCGGTCGCTGAATACATGGCTGATGATCTTGCGTTTCTGTCGATGGGCATGTGGGTCGACGATGTTGAATGATGTAAAAATCCCAGGGCACCGTACCGTCGCCGAGTACACATGGGACTTCAGATTCGGTCATTGTCGTAGATATCTGTCTGCCGTTAGTGCTGTGCCTCACTGGTGCGAGTGGTTGCCGACCGTGTAAGGCGCGGGCCGTGTTGAACAGCAACTTGTTAGATCCGTGTCGCACAACTTAGTCATATTCTAGGTGATCTTGTGCCGCAGTGAGGTGAAGATCCTGTCTTAAGGAGTGGTATCCGTTTCGAACATTACAAAGTTTCGCTAGGAGAGGTCCTGGGTAGCTCCTCAGCGGGTGGAAGAATGCGCGGTAGATGAATACGGTCACCTTCTTGTCAAACACGGTCAGACTCAGAATACTTTACAGGGGAAGTGGGTTTGAGCATACAGAGACAAGCAGCATGTTGCTGACGAGCCCGAAGGCAGCCAGCACAGATGAGACCGGACCAGCGCTCATGGTGGGCTCAAGAAGAGAAGAGACGCAGGGGATTCACACGTCGCAGAAACGCTGCAGCTGGTAATTCGCGTTTCCAACGATCTTGTTGTCCGAGTTGAAGTATGTAAGAGGGTAGACGACCTCAAGTTATCTGTTGCCTGAGAAGGGAGTCGTCATCGGGAGACCTGACCTGATAAGGTGTGTGCGGTATGCAAATCATGTTGGTTGGTCACCAACCAACCAACCAACCGAGGCAGGTCATGTGCTTCACACCCGCATGGACCCCAATGACAAACGTGGCGCTCTGATATAACGTCTTTAAGTAAGGGGTGGGTTGAGGATCATAGTGAGTCGTGCATCCTTGACGTCCCGGACCCGAAAGCCTTAATCCACAGCCTGTCTTAATATCTGCTGCTTTCTGATTATATTTGTTCACGTCCAATCTGAGGGTATTTGCGTGAGAATATGGGCTCTCCAAGGCCGTGTAAACCGTGGCTAAGTAGTGATACTCCGGGTAGCTGCGTAGATCAAAGGCCATGCCGCTTACTGTACTTGACAGAGAAGAAAGAACTTTGCCGCTCCAAAAGGATCGGTCCTCAACCATCTTGACACCAACGACAACGGTACTCGGTATTCCAAATAACCTGGGCCTGACCAATTACCTAACTACGCGGCTTCGTGTAATACCTATAGATCAAGACTGGCAATATGTCACAGGATCTTCTAACTCAGCAACAGCATGAAAAGCCATCTCGTCTGCCATGGAAATACTGGATCGGCTTCGTCTTTAACTGGACTATTGGCCTTCTCATGTCTGCAGTGATATATCTTGGCTTGCCGTGGCCACTTGCCGTCCCCGCTGTACCCGGTTTCTTTTATCTGCTTTCACATCTTGGGTCTTTCGTTGCATCAATATTGCTCGCCCGATTTTGCGAATCGAGCTTAGCGCAGAACCATTACGAACTTTGCAAGCCAAGAGATGTATCGCCTTATATCTTCGGCACGTTTCTGGAGACACAGGACCGGTTACCCAATATCACTACATTTGCGGCAGAGTTCAACGGGTTCCCCTTCGAATTAGAACTTACAACTTATGACGCAAATCACCTGGCAGGGCCTATGGCCTTTACCAACCTGGCAGAGCAGATAACCAAACAAAAACAACTATTTTTCTTGGCGCCCCGCTGTTAGGGCGCAGCCTCGATATCTGCACTAAAGTAGGCACTTCTCTCAGTAACTGACTATCTTTGCCAAGGCATAAGAGAATTTTTCTCACAAGCCAGATGGCACCCTTCTGCGACGGGCCCCCAAACACGCCCGTGGCCGTCCTAAAGACAACCACCTGCGGCATGCTCAAATCCCTGGCCCCTAGAAAGACATACGGCCCGGCAACTCCGAGCAGGCTCCGCCAGGTGCTGTTTGACGACATCGACAGCAACCTGTCACAGGTCTCTGAGGCTGACTTCATTGTTATTTCCCCTCTGAAAAGAAAATCCTGAAAGATTAATGACAGTAGCATTACTGTAATAAAATGATCTTAATTAAACAAAATCTCTACAGACCAAGCCATTACACGTGATATAGGGAATAAAGCCTCTTCTTCAGAATACCAGGATCAAATTGCCAAAATACTGGCTAAAGACAAGCACCTCTATGAAGCCAGGATAACAATATTTCAGGAATGTACTATAGCAGTTAATAAGACACTTAAGAAAGTTAGAACCGAACTATACTCTCATGCCAAGGAGTTCAGCATTTTCTTCTCTAAATGTCAGAACGAGTGGCTGGAAACCCGAGATCCGCCCAAAAGGAAGACCATTCCTGGGGGGATAGGGATGGTAAAGCCCACCATGACCTTCGCCCAAGCTGTCTCCTCTAGCCAGCGACAGCATCCACGGACAGTCAACATTACAATAAAGAAAACACAGCCTGGCGCCCTTATTACTACCAACCAATTAAAGAAGAAACAGGATGATCTCCAGGTATTTGTCCGCATGGATAATAGCCACTTAGAGTCTTACAGAATAAAGTCTATACTAAACAGAAGACTTAAGCTCCACCCTTAAGAGCTTAGAGAAGTGACCCGGTACCCCTCCGGATTTACCTTACACCCAAAGAACAAGCCAACTTAGGCTAAGCTCCTGGCCTTACGAGAAGAAATCACTGACATTCTCAAGGCAGAAAAGATTAAGACCCACACGGTCTGGCATCACTACAAGGTCAATGGATGCCCAAGAAAGGTCATCAGTGCGGAAGGGTTGATAATCGACATTACTGACATTATTGTTGCTGATAAAGTTGAAGCCCAAACAGGTGACAGACCTTTAAGGTGCATACTTTCAAGGAACACAGTTGATTCTGATCTAGAGACTTCTGTGACGGTCTGACCTCCTCGTAGTCTGTCAACCCATCAGGGTGGCCTGTGCGCAGCATCATATGACCTGGCACACAAGACGTGTGGCCACAACTGTACTAGGCTAGGTAATAGTGGGGCGGATGGAAGGATCATTAATCCCACCAGAATTGGCTGGCGGGTCAGATCCTTCTTTCCCTCCCCACCAAGAGATTCTTACACGTAGGTAGTGCAATCAGGACTTTTATGTCCTCATTCTATTTACGCTTTGTGACAACTACATGGGTGATCTCTCTGCCCCGTGCAACAAAGAAACCATTCATACTTTTTGCTCACTCAATGACCTCGAGGCACATTCAATACTCCCCCAAGGTTCACCAGTGTGCGAGCTGCTTCAGATACCATGGTAGGAACTACTGATATAAAAAGCAAGTATGTGCACGTTGTGCCAGCACAGTACACCAGGGGGATTACAAAAAACCAATCCCAAAATGCGTCAATTACAAGGGGTCTCATGCTGCTGACTTTGACAAATGCCCTACACGCCCCAAGGTCGTGAAAGGTATCATCTATAAGCACACATTGGAGCAAATCCAGGAAATAAGGCTGGCCGGAGAAAGTGCCAGATCCAGAGCCTTTAATGAAGCAGGCAGAAACCAAGCTGGGTCAACGCCTAGCAATAATAACAAAGACACCACAATGCAAATCGATACAACAAATACAGCTCATCCCAGAGATGCCGACACCATTGTCGTCAGTCAATGCTAGATACATCAAACAAAACATATCGACACGGGCATCTAGTCATGCATTCTATGAATACAATAAGAGGACAAAAGAGTGCAGGCCTTACAGAGTTAGCCATCAACCTGGCTGACTACAAAGGAGAACAAGCAGACATCATTCTGATACAAGAGCCCTGGGTTGGCATACCACCAGGCAGAAGAATGAGAGTAAAGACACAGCCTAATTACGATATATACTCCCCAGTGGATTCCTGGGACAGCGAAAGTACACGGCCCAGATCTCTCATCTATGTGAGAAAATATCTTTAAGCGGATCAATTTCGGCCTTACTCTACATAAGACATCACTTAGGTCAAGGTACAAGGCATTATATTTGCTAGCGTCTATGACCATACGATAACCCACAGGAAGTGAATAATATTCTGGAAGTATGGACCCCACCCTTTAACTGCGTCATAGCCGGAGATTCCAATACTGGCAATACATCCTGAGACTCAAGCAATCCAGGATATCATGGTGGTGCTATACTTACACAGACTATGGCAGACCACCAACTAGATCTGATTTCTGAACCAGATGTCCCGACACATGATGACAGAAATGTACTAGATCTGGTGTTCTTAGATGTGCCCATGGCTAAAGCCTCAGTCAATGATGCACTTCAGTGCACCTCAGATCATAAGACATTACGAATAGTTGTCCCAATTCACCGAGATCTGGCCCGAATCCCCAAAGCCAATCATTGGATAGTACCGGACGATAAACTATAAGAGCTGACAGATAATGTCCAAATCAGGATTTATGAGCTCCCCTGGCTGGGTGTATCCCCTGGCCAGGTGGATGCCTTTACACAGAGCTTGATCAACATGATCCACGGCTGTATCAGGACAGTGGGCAAAAAGCCCCGACAATATAGGCCCACTGCTTGGTGAAATAATGACTGCAAAGCAGCTGTTCAGACATACAGGGCCCTTTCCAAACAGACTACAAGCCAAGAAGGGCGAATTCAGCCAGACAGGAATTTCGCCGCATGGTTCGGAAAGCTAGGAGAGAATACTGGCAGACTCTAATCAATTCAGCAACTGAGCTAAAGGACCTATACAGAATTGTCTCTTGGCACAAGCTATTAGCAGGATTGCGTTCCTCCCCAATCATTATAAGAGACCAAATATTCGAGTCACAAGAGAGCAAGGCAAATACACTATGTTCAGCCACGCTTGAACGAAGTACCTCAGACAACAATATCATCGACCCCTGGTCCGCTAAGATCATACAACCCAAGCCACACATCCCCCTTGAATACCACGTCGGACTGGAAGAGGCTGAAGGGTGCACTATAGGGACCAAGAGCAACTCCCCGGGAATAGACACCCTCACAGTACAGATTCTGAAAGCTTGCTGGCCAGTCATTAGGGAACATATCAGAGCCCTTTTCCAGACCTGTCTACAGATTGGACATCACCCGAAACCATTCAAAGTGGCTGAGGTAGTGATGATCCCAAAACCAGGCAAGAAAGACTACTCCAATCCCAGGGCCTACAGACCAATATTGCTATTGTTATGTCTTGGCAAAGGCCTAGAACGACTCATTACAAAAAGATTTACCTGGTTTGTTGTTAAACTTGGAATTCTAGCTCCACAACATTTTGGAGCTCTACCAAAGCGCTCTGCCACTGACCTGGTAGCTGCACTCATACACGATATTGAGCAGGCCCTCGACCAAGGCCTCGTTGCAACGGTAGTCATGTCAGATGTGAAAGGGGCCTTTGACGCTGCCCTAATGGGACGGCTGGTGGTTCGCATGAGAGAACAGGACTGGCCAGGCTTTCTTATAAGATGAATCCAGTCATTCATGTCCAAGCGGTCCGCAAGGGTTTGGTTTGAAGGTATCATGATTGATATAAAAGCTCTCACTTGCGGGCTATCATAAGGCTCACCAGCCTCTCTTATCCTTTATATGCTGTATACCGAGCCAATCTGTGCTCAACTTGGGATGAAAAGAAGACGCTTTATATATACAGACGACTTAGCAACTCTCTGTATTAGAAAAAACCTTAAGAAAATAGCTACAAAGGCTTCTAAAAATCTTTATTTGCTTAATCAATAGGGACGTAACAACATGCTATTAAATTTGACCCCAACAAAACCGAGATTATGCACTTCTTGCGGAAAAAGAACTCATATAATCCTCCCCTTTTTCACAAGACAATAAACAAAATAGCTAAGCATCCCATGCGATAGCTAAATGTCCTTCTGGATAGAAAACTAAACTTCAAAGATCATGTTTCTCACTGGGCCAAGAAAGCTAGGAAGGTAACAAATCACTTTTAAGGACTATGCAACACAGTAAAAGAACTCCCAGTAAAGTCAACCAGGAGGGCTATGAAAGCTTGTGTTATTCTTATTCTTATACATGGCTTAGAGGTCTGGTACCCAGGAATCGAGAAAGTTGGGAGCTTAGGTGGGATATCAGCATGTCGCATTAAAGGGCTTCTTAGAACAATAGATGCCGTACTACGAAGAGCGATCAGGGCTATCTTACCAGTCTGGAAAACACACCCTGGACATATCCTACACTTTGAATCGCAGATTCCCCCAGCAGGAGTTCTTACAGAGTCAATAAGATGACGTCATGGCCTCTGACTAGGACGAATAGACCAGAGACACCCTCTTGTTGGCAGGCTCCAAATACAAGCTCGCAAGAATCCAATAAGGCTACAAAAGAGCTTCCAGCTAGTCCTTGACTTCCAGAGACCAACACTTACCAGGCCATCATGGAAAAAGCCCCTAATCCGTAAAGACAAAGACAAAGAAATAGAGCTCTTCAAGCAATGGCTACAGGAGAGAAACGTGAACACTGACCTTGTCATCTATTCAGATGGATCACAGTTGGACGACCAAGGCACAACCCGCACTAGATGGGGTTATACCATCAGGAATGGCGGCACTACACAAGAAGTATACCAGGGAAAGGGCAGACTTCTCCAAGCAGAAGTAGTAGATGCTGAAGTCCATAGTGCTCTCTAAGGGCTTGCAGCAGCCAGGACAATTGGACACAAAAAATAGTTATATGTCTGCCTGGACAACATGTCAGTGGTAGATGGGCTCAATAGGACTCCACCCGAGACATCACAGAACATTTTTTTACGATTTCAAGAACTTGCCATAGCACACACTGCTGGAGTGACCGTCAAGTGGATTCCTAGACACAGAGATATTAATGGCAACAAAGCTGCCAACACACTAACAAAAGAGGGTACCATGCTAGAATCAGACACAACAAACCTTCCCACAATCTCATGGGTCAAGAGAGATCTCAAAAAAAAAAGGCAAAAAATAATTTAATTAGTAATAAAAAGACCAATCAGAACCTAGATATCAAAAAGTATACTCATATATAGTAACTAAAAGAGACCTTATATCTTTTAAGAGGAGTACTTTACACAGACTTCTAGCGGCCAGATCTAGACATGGTGACTTTGCCAGATACCACGAACACTTTGGGCATACAGACTCGAATGATCACTGCAGCTGTGGTGAGAAGAAAACACCACAATATATTTTCTTTTGTAAGAGGCTGGGGAAAAATCAGCTGCTGCCCAGGTACTTGCCTAGAACAGCTTGTTTATAATACTTAGGGGAGAGGAGCACAAAATGGGCAAAATTCAGGGAGAAGAGCAAATTCTTTTCATCAATCTGCCCTTAATAGATAGCTGTTCTTGAAGGACCAGATCGATGACCCAAGGTCATACCGCCGCAACAACGGGGATGGGCTCGTGAGCGGGACTGACTGTACTTATTATCTTGATACCTCCACAACCCTGCGATACAGAGGCTCTGGGAGGCGTGGTTTGCACTACTGAGGAGCAATCCCCCACGTTAAATACAAAACAAACAAAACAGGAGTAAAAAGAACGACCTCGAGACTCCCTGTTTGGATCACGCGGTGCCGAGGGATGTGTACGAGGGAGGACATGAGCGAGCTCTACGATCTGCTAGTTAATAGTGTGAGCTTGACAACACGGACGGTGTATGGCGCGGACAGAAGTTCCACGGCCAAGGAGGAAGTTGTGTAGACTTGACATTATTATTCCCGACCTGCGCACCCACGCGCCCCAATTCCTGTACAGGCGAGGCATGTATATATCTGCCCCGCAAGAGATATGTCAGATTTAATAAGCTGAAACAGTAAACCACCCACAGGCTGGTGATGCTGGTCATCCGACTTGCAACGAAATGCTTCTTTAGAAGATGGCAGACATAAGCAGTACGTTACTGACTCCTTAAAGTCCCGGTAAATATCCTGATGAAGAAATCCCCAATCCAGAAAGTCATGCGCCGACGCTGGTGTAGGGAAGACCGAAGAGACGGTCGTTATCTTCCCAGCCTTTACCCAGCCTACGTTGCGGTAGCGATCATCAATTCTCTGGTAGCAGGGTCAGTCAAATGGATTGGTGGTACCACGATATCCTAAGAAACACTCACACGGTTGATGGATCCACTCGACTGCGTCTCAATCCCGTTACCTGGGCTCTGTGTTTCCGACTCTTTGGTGCCCGTTGTTTCTCGTGACCCTTCCTGAATTCTTGATGCCGACGGTCATTGCCAGGCGCCTCCTGGTGGGACTTCCCGTGCTCTTGCTTCTGGTAACAGTTTGACTTACTTGTATCACTGCCCTGGACGAATGCAGTATATGAGCCACGAGTGCTAGCATTCTCAAGAAACCAAGGAGGTTCGGCCTGTTCAGGGGTTGCACCCTCGCCGGTGTGAGGTCTTGATACTAGGCGGAACAGCTCCCCAGATTCCAACTCTTTTGGTTTCCCGGCGTAGTCGCGACCCCGTTCTGCTGACTGATCATGCGCTGCATCAAGTTCTTCTTTGAGCTTCCGCTCTGCGCGCTGCGCATCGTGCAGCTCTCTGGTCAACTCTCGCTCCCGGGCATTGGAGTCATCAAGCTGCTTCCGTAATTCATCAATCTCGTCTTTGGTCTCCTTAATGAGTAGCTTCTGGTCGGCACCGGCCTCCTTGAGGCAGACGTTCTTCTCTTGGAGCGCTCGGATCTTGTCCTTAAGCGACCGTATCTCGCGCTGGCATTCGTAATGCGCTGCGGAAATATCCGCGCTATTCTTCTGCGCTGACCCAAGTTCCTGCTCTCGCCTTTCGAGGTCGGAGTCTGGCTGGACGATTTGCTGTGGCGGCTCCTGCTGTCTCTGTTCCACACACTGGGTAGCGTTATCTCCATTCTCCCCATCAGAGTCTGAGCTAGCATCATCCGAGTCTCTGATATTCTGGTGCGCATGCGTGCCGCTGCGTGGTCCGGAAGTGGATGTTGTAGATGATCGTGTGCTCTTCTGTAGTCTTTGGTCCAGCTCGCTGACGCGGCTACATAAGCCCTTCTCGATCACTTCGAGTTCGCGCTCGCTGCATGCGGTAGATGCCTGATTGAGACTACCCCACGACGAGTGCTCGATCCGATCCCTGAGCTCCCGAACACGATTGCCGTTGGACGGTGCCATTCTGGACAGGTCGACGGTGAATTCTGGTGTCGATTGCGAAAATTGGATGCTTAAGATGTGTGCTAAGACGGATCACTTCGCAAATGAATCAAAAGGGCTCCCGATGCTTTGAAATCAGAAGTTGGGTGTCCAATGTCGACACCTGCTGGAATCTACACGAGAAGTAAGTCGACTCAGCGCCTGCTCCTTACCGGCTGTCGCCCCCGAATGCCCTTCGGCAACGACAGCGGGGTATGGCTGCGGAACCATGCATTGCATACCAGCCTGGTTCCCGATGGAGTCTTATTGGGTCGCGAGAGGCAATGGAAATTGCTAGGTCCAGTAACATCTCAATCTTGAAGTCGTTGTACGCCCGTATCTTTGTTTTGCAACGTGACAGCTGCATCCATGGTTGGCCAAACTGTATTGGATCATGCCAGTGAAAATAACTTGGCGGTGTCTTGGGGACCAAGTCTTCACCGAAGATTTCATCTCCCGTACGGTCATGCATTGCAACGTAAAAATGGAAGGCAACGTGTCCCATCTTCCGAGCGAGAACAAACCCAAGTCTAGAGTTTTTGAACATCTGCGAACCCTGAGAAGTCCCCAGCGGACCTGATACGGCTTGGTCGACTTTGATAGGCGGCGATACCACATCCCACGTGATACCATGCAGCAGGACGGAATGGGGCAAAATGGCGTATGGCTTGGAAGCCAAGGCAATCAGCTTCAGCCGCACGGTGAGATTTTATCAACCTGAGAAGGCCTGACTCATCTTCGACCGCACACTGCTTTCGATATCCATGGGTTACGAAAGCCTGCGTGCATGAACTTGTCTATGTAGGAATAGACCATCACAGTGTCGCAACATGACAACGCGGACCGGAGATGACCAGCGCTCCCTGGCATGCTAGAATGCGTGGCCCAGGGACACCCGTTACTTTGTTCCCAGCGTCATGAGTCCCACTGCTGCGTTACGGCTAGTTGATAACGACGCGTCTTTCTACAACCCGCCCGTAGGTACGGGGTGGCAGCCCTTACTTTTGCGTCGACCTGAGCAGCAACAGTGTTTTCTTCACCAACATAGATCCTAGCAACCGGAAGTCGATGGAGAGCTTAGATCCCTCAACCCTGCTCCCGGGCGCCTCAAGGGTCCTGTTCAATGGTCAGCGCCGGCTGTATTTCGATCACTCGACACACCTAGAAATCAACATGCCGCGCGCCGCCTGGCTCGACGTGCTTAAGACGTGTCGAGTCCCGCCGACGGCGATCGAGCTCCTGCATGAAAATAACGGAGGCTGCTTCCAGCACGTATCATACTGCAATGATAATCCCCGCTCTCCTTGCGAAGCAGCCTTCTCTGACTCAACACCTTGTGCATACCACGTCTGCTTCAAACTCTGCCAGTGGGTATTTGAGCACTTCATATACGCTCGTTACGACTTCCACACATGCACCACTTTCATTATGGTCGAAGGCACGACCGCCGAGCGCCAGGTCCAGCGACTTCTCGTCCAATTCCATGAGCAAGGCCCACGCGATACAGATCTTTTCGCCATTCTCCACGCGCTGGCTTGTGTATGGGCGGAAGAGGTCGAGCAGGAGGCTGGAGGCTCGACTTCGACACGCAGAAGTTCGAGTCGCTAACCGGGGTGTCTTCGCTGCAATTCGGCGGCTTCAAACCAATCCCCAGGGAAAATCTGGAGCTCAGAACGGATATGGCGGCCAGTATAGACTCGCTGAGATGCGCCACTCGCGCATCAAAGCATGTGCCCGAGCTCCCATGTTCTTGAAAGATTCGCTTTGGCGCTTTCATGATTCTATCCGAGAATGGGGACACCTTCGGTTCGCCTTCATTAACGAAGCGAGAATGTCAGCAATTGTCAGATGCTCTAGACCAGCGCATAAGCCAACAGCATAGCCAAACGGCGCGGATGGCCGACTTGATGGACCGCATCGCCGCGCAGTGGAATGTGGTGAACATGATGATCCAGCACTACAACAACGGTCTAGCCATCGACATGGCGCGAGACTCTCGTGCCGACAGCGTGCTCATGCGACGAATCGCTTTCGTGACGATCGTTTTCCTGCCGGCGACTTTCATGGCGACATCCTTCAGCATGGGCTTCTTCCAAGTGAGCGATGATGACGGGTCGTTGAGTGTCAGCCGTTGGGTATGGCTGAGTGTTGTCTGTGTGACGGCCTGCACAGACCTTCCCACATGACAAGCGGATACTTCCCAATAGGGGAAGGATCTGACCAGAGGATCCCCTTAAAGGGGCAACCTCCCACTGTACCTATCTCTCTCTCTCTCTTCCTTTCCTCTCTAGTCTTGATATTCTCGTCAATAGAGTAATAGCTGCTTGCTGCCGGCCATGTCCCAGCTCCTCAGTACGCTCGCCGTGACAGTCTGTACTGTGTCGTTGACAGGGCTGCTCGCGTGGCAGTACACACCCTCGGGAAAGCAGCTGTTGGAACTTCCTGGATTGAGACGATGGAGGAGAAGTGACGGGAAGGATAAGATAGATGCCTCGAAGATGTGTTGATATTACACTGACACTTTACTCCGAACTGAGTTTTTCTTCGGTGAAATACCAGCAGATCGTCACAATCAAATCTTGCTTGCGATTTGCTGAAGAAAGCACCATCTGACTGGACTGATCTGAGAGTATCGCAACCTCAGTTATAAGAAGTGCCTTGACGGCATCAATCATAAGTCAGTCACCGCAAATACACAAGCAAAGCCTCACTAGCGCTCAAGGAGACCGTCGCCTGTCCACCGCTTACAGCCAAAGTCTCGAACGTCTCGGCCCCACTGGCAGTGCAAGTGCCATCAGTGAATGTCTGTCCCCCGAACGTAACAATTCCACCTTGATCAACCCTAGCCACCGCACTATCGCCAGTCAACCTCTTCGCCCTGACCGAGCTCCCCGTCAATCCACTCAGCACGAACGACTGGCTGCTCCGGGTCCCACTGCCTCCGTAGTAATCAGAGTTGTAAAGCAGGGCCCTCAGGGGTGCGCCAGCCGAGTCGAACGAGACGTAAGCTGCGTAATTTGTGGTACCGTCGTCGAGAGCTGTGAGGTACGCCGCGTTGGCCATGAGGGCGGTCGCCGCGTAAGCACCATAGTAAGGCGCTCCCATGGAATAGCGGCCCCAAAAACAATATTGGCAAGCACCTAGGGTTCCGTGGTGGAAGTAGGTGCGTGATATGTTACTGTATGTGGCGCGGAGGACGTAGTTCATTGTCCAAAGTGCGGCTCCGAATGTGGGCGACACGGTCGCGGCACCTCCTCCGGATACTGCTCGACTTCGTCAGATTAGTGTCACCCAACTGGGGAAGAAAGACAAACCCGAATTTGTCTCTCCAAAGACGTATTGCTTCCCTTGTCCCAACGCAGCTGCCACGTCCGCGTCGAACACGTGCAGATTACTGGAGATGCTTGAGTGGCTCATAAGTGATGTAACAGTCCCTCCTGGATAGTTGTGATGAGCGTAATCCTTGACGTATTGCTTAACTGTCGCATTCTCTGTCGCGATCAGCTCTGCCGCGCCCCATGTTGGTGGAGAATCGTTCGAGTTGCCAGCTTGGATAATCGCTGTCTTGCCTATGGCAGTGCCAACTGTGATGTCCCAGTTATCCTGCGACGCGGCATCAACCGCTGGTGTCCAGGTCCCAGAAGCGATAGGTTGACCAGCACTCGCGTAATCTAAAGGCGATCAGATACCACTAGCAGTCACCCAAACGGATTCGTTCAACTTACATTCAGGCTCATTCCCCAACTCAATAGCCAGAAGGTTGCTCATGTCCCCAACAGCTACCTTGGCAGCAGCAATCGTGTTCTGAATGTCGTCTTTGCCCCTATTCAAGCCGACGACCACACTGCCGCCATAGGTCGCTGCAAGGGTGAAGAAACTGGACCCAAACGTCAAGCTGGCAGGGGCATCGGTTGCACTGGCAACAGTATACACGACGTAAGCCGATGTTGCGGAGTCATACACCGCGCGGTCCTGGGTGGTGCCACCAATGCGTATCGGCGGCCACACTCCGGTCAAATCCTTCCAGTTAGTGAGGCATTGGTTCGTGGCGGTGACGTTGGTGAAGTAGGACGGAAACGCAAAGAACTCAAAGCTGTCAAATTATCAAGTCAGTGAGACCCAGAGAGATGATCTGACTCGGGAACCTACGAGATCCCGACTGGCGCTGGTTCCACTGGCGCATAGCTGTAGCTGCCTGTATGTGCCTGGCTGGGAATCGTGAAGCTGACTGCCGAGACAACACCATGGACGGCGACCCATAGTAGGGCCAGTTTTGCGAAGTGTTGAGCCATGCTGCACGTGAAGAAGGATCAAGGGCTATGTCAAGTACTGCATAGCGGACACCACTCCTACTTATGATAGCTTGTTCCAATATGCACGTTTTCCGGAGATCTGGGCTCCGGTGCCCGATTGATAGGTCGATGCTACGTCTCGCATCCCCTTCGGTCATGACCCTGAGTGACAGCGAATCAGGGAGGGTACCGCATGAGGCGCCATGCATAAGCATTCTGGGGTAAAAATATCGCGCGAATACGAATCAGGGATAGACTAGGGAACTTTGCTTTAATTGGTGGAATTATTGTTACATTTTCTGAGCAGCAAAGCATTCGGCTTTTTGTTTCAAACATTCCGATAGCTTCTTTGCGATTGACAATAGGTTGTGGAAATCATCGAGCGATCGAAACTCACAGCCTGAAGGGTTGCGACTCGCTGCACAGCGTCGCTGTATAGCAGGCCACAGCTGACCAACTACCCTGCCACAGCCCCGATCCCCTGCAAGAAACAACCCTAGAAGACTAAGAGATTGAATCAGTATCGGGGAAGATGATCATCCACATGGATACTCTTCAGATAATGACGATGAGGTGCCAAGCAAGCCTGTGATAAAAAGGTCCGTGTTTGGGAGGGACCGGCTGGGAATGGCACCCGTGGAGAGTGTGTCGACGGAGAAAGCTGCACATTCGGAACCAGTGTTTCTGGAGCATGGACTTGATGATGAGAAGCTGACAAGCTCGTTTCGGAAGGATGCGGCACACGCATCGACATTGGGGTGCCATGAAGTCGAGTGAAGAGGATATTTGGACTGTAGACATTGGTATACGATCCCGGATGAGAATGACGACATCGTTGGTTTCATTCGGTATATGTTTAGGTGGGTTGTAAGTGTCGGACAGCGTGTGGAAGGGTTCTTATGGTTTAAAATGTGTAATCTGGTAATTCCATGGATGTGTGTGTGTCTTGAAGGATCTGCTGTTGTGGGCTAGGTTGCGCCAAAATGCCCTACTGCACCTGTTAGTACACTGCCACCTCCTTAAACGCCACGGTGGCTTGCGCGCCACTCAACAGTAGGCAAGTTACTAGATAGGTCAGAACGTCAGATTTCAGTACGCCAAGGGCATGAGGCTTCCAGCAAGGGCAGGTGAGCTCAAGTTGCACATGCGGTTGCGATCGATCAGGCCGGGAGATGCCTTGCAGACCAACCTCAGCTGCCACCCGGGTTATGATCACCGAGCTCACCGCGAATACAACGTCAACGAATCTGACCTTACTCTCATCCAATAGACCTGAGGGGGCAATATCTGCCAGGTGCTCCCATTAACACAGTCGAGTTTCCTTGCATCGAGAGATATTCACCTGAACTCCAAGCGTAAGAGGTTTGGGTACAATACCGTAAGCTATATAACTTCTGTTGCTCCTGGTTGAGGTACAAACGGGATATTATTACCTGCAAGTGTGTGTGTGTGTGTGTTCGTTTTTCAAGGACAAACAGCTGGAACTGACATTGGGTGGTAGCAAGATATTTGACCGTCAGCTTGCTTCCAACGAAGGCGACAGATCGTTGATGTTAATTGCCTTCAATTAATTCACCCAACCACCAGGCCGTTCCGAAGAACCCTTCCTCTACATTGTCCGGCACACGTAGTACCTCCCTTGGTGGCAAGGAGCGGTGCCTGGGGACCGACCATTGTGCTGCGCACAACGTGAAGCTATTCACCATAAGTCCATGACAGTATATATATCTACATCTACAAACAATGTTGTCTTTGACCGAACTGACTTGGATCTTAAGGGCTTGGTCTGGTGCAACGCTGCCTGCTGAACCCAAGCTTAGGCTTTGTATGCTGATGGTCACTATGTTTTTTACAGTGCAGATTATTCACCATCATCATACAGATAGGCACATGAATCTGACAAGCCGATAAGGAGTGCCCAAGGCGACAATGTATTGATACGAAGAGTGCTTGCATGCCAACACCACCTGCCAGCAGCAGACAAAGGAGTGGCAGCTCCAACATCTGCCTGCCGCGTGCACACTTTCGTTGCCCGTCAACCCGCGGCCCTCCCACCTACCAATTTTTTTTTTTCCAACCGCGAACCTCGTTTTGGTCCAAGACGCGTCTTCGTTCGCTCACTTGAATCTCCGTCCAGTTGCATCTTCGTCCAGCCTTTTCAACCACCAGCTCTCCCATCCCATATTGGAGTCTCGCATCGCACATCCAGTCTGACCATGTCGTCCCTCCTCAATGTACCCGACATCCCCAAGGAGACTGTTAATAAGATCCTCACGGCCGCTGCACGAGTACGAGGCACCAAGCGCGCTGTCCGGCTACGACTTGTGAGTAGAGAATGGAACTCGCTAATTGAGATCGCCATATTCGATCCTGGCATCCTCGATCGCGGCGGCATACCTCGGGAGTACAACGGATCGCCTTCGAATGAGTTTTGGCGACAATACCTGAGCTATCGGGTGTTCAATGCCAACATGCCTCTTGCCAATGAACTGCGCATGATCTTGCCGATCGCCCAAGATTGATTGATTGATTGTATTTATCGTGGGTGCAGTCCCTCAACAGGGCAATCCACGCCTCCCAGAGCCATTGCATCGCAAGGTTGTAGAGGTGTCAGTCTAGATACATTCAGATCCACGCACGAGCCTATCCTCGCTGTAGCGGTACCAATCTGGAGTGTCCAGATGGTTTTAGTCAATACCCAAGCACAATTCTGTCAGAAAAACCCTCCTGTCCAGTGACAAAGCGACCCAATGAACCTCAGTCCTCTGGTGTACACATCGTTCCAGTAGCCGTTCGATATATGTCGCATTGGTGGGTGAAGTAGGTGTTTGTTATCTGCTGGCGAGGGAAACCACAAAGGGAAAAACCTCGCAGGAGTGGGTGTTGTGGAGACAAACTGCTTGGCTATCGGGCTCTGCGATAAGGGGCCTCTCCATTGTCGTGTGCTGGTTGTCGACTCGCACAAGCCGGGTCAGAAGGGGGCCGATCGCCCAAGAGATCGTCAAGTCTCGCCATGGCAGTACTGATCGCTTGCAAGACGAGGTTAGCACTGGTGGCTTGCAAGAAGAGGCCCGAGCATGTGTTGGCGAGATATGCCGTCTCTATCTCCTCCCGCACCATCCCGTCCGAAACTACGCAGATCTACTGGATGTTGACGACCACCCCAATGAAAGCATCGATAAGGATTCCAATGCCTTCAAATACGCGCTATTGGAGGCGGCGCTTCATACCAATGATGTAGTCCTTGGCAAAAAGTTACTCGAACGGGGTTTGGGTCGTTGGGACAGTAATCGGTAAGTCAAGCATGGAGGGACACCCATCCTAGCGGAGAAGCAAACGAGTTTTTAACGTTAACGATTTTACCAGACCACGCAGGAAGAACTACCTAGCAATTGCCGCTTTCCAAGGGAACCTCGAACTGATGGGGCTGCTCGCGCAAGACCTTCCACCGACTGGATTGCTGGGCAATTGGAACCATCCCCGCCAATCGATTCTACGCAAGGCCTACCAGGCCGCGGCAAATGGAGCTAGCGTCGACGCTCTGAGACTCCTCGATCGTACTCACCCTCGGAACAATGCATTTCTCCTCGAATGGGCCCTCGGACACACGACCTGCGACGAAATCTATGAGCACTGCGGTGGACTCGCGGGAAATGTCAACCCCAAAAGCCTTTCCGAGAGATTCTCAAGAGCGTCTAAACAGAATGCCACGCCACTCATGGAGCGTCTTGTACAACTGGGCGCCACCGTCAACAGAGACACCGATGAGAGATACGTGTGGGCGGCGAACGAATCCGAGGCCTACAATAGCCCGATCAGCCAAGCCGCAATTCGAGGTCATTACGAAGCGGTCAAGTTCCTGCTTGACCACGGCGCCATCATGGAACGTTCTCTTGAAGCAGCGGCGGCGTACGGTTCTCCCCGCGTCGTGCTTCTTCTCCTAGAACACAACCGGCACAGCCAACACGACCCTCACAACGATACCATTCTCCGCAACGCACTAAGCAAGGCCATCATGAAGGAAGACGAAGAGCTCTGCCGACTGCTGATAAAGCACGGTGCGACCGTAGACAAGCGAACCAATCGACTGCTTGCGCGAAGAGCAAAAGAGGAGGGCCTGGATTCGATGGTGGGATTTCTCAAGCAATACGAGTAGAGGACTGGAGCCATTGCGAGGAGAGGTCTTGAGGCAACGACTTGAGATACTGAAGTTCATGTACAACTAGGGTCAATGATGAGAAACACATGCTGCACCGATAATGAACGCAACTGCATAAGTAAATGATTCACTTACGTGGCACCTTCGCAAGACATTTGGCCTAATCTGGTGACCAAGCTGGACTTCGGCGCTTTCCAGCATTCCTGCGGCCGGCACCCTGCTCCCCAGCTCGAGACACGAATCACGAGATGGCAGGTGCCGACATGGGAGAAGCTTAACCGTTGATGAGCCGGCCCGGTTTATGCGTCACGAGCGGTTCTGAACCTTGTTGCTATGTCATCCCAACTGGCAATGGCATCACATGCTAAAGGACACACTTCTGTCCACCTAAGCGATATAAACGTCGTATATGTTCAAATTAGATACCCAGGATGGTGATGGGTTATGAACTAGGGAGTATTTCGAAGACGACCTGCTGGTGCTGCTAAAACATACCGGGAGGCAGCAATCAGACGATCAAGCTTTATAGTACCAATCGACCACTGTATCATTCATTGATTCATACGCGCAACGTGGTTCATGGCGGAGGTCCTCGTCTCAGCTTGGGGCGCGCAGAGTTTCACAATTCACCCACCTTCCCCCCTGGGCCTTTCCCCGGAGATCTGCAGACCCAGGAGCTAGGTAGAGATAAAGTTTGCCAAGATGCGTGGCATCCCGACCTGGGGCAGGAAGCCCGAAGTCCGGCCAAGGCATCAAAGATCATGACGTTGTTGCCTACTAAGTACCTAATTATCTGAAGTTTATCTGGCTTCCAAATGAGAAGGTGTGACACAAGGGGTGGGACGGGAGACTTTGTCTCACTTACTGTAACTTCCTTGTGCTCACCTCCTCATCTACCACGAACCACCAGATACAAACCACCATCATCGGCATGGACGTGCCAAGACTTAATATAAAGCATTCCTCGCTCCACTGACCGCCGCACAGAATCCTCATAACTCTGTCTGATTCCGGGGACCAAAATGGTTGCGGCAAAGCCCGGGACGAACTACATGTGCTGCCACGCCGCTGCGGCACGGGTGTTGTCGAGGAAGACGCCCATCGTGATTGCGCTTCTGCTGCTGTTATGCAGTCTCATCGGTAAGCCGCCCCCAGCCTGTCACCTTACCTGCAGACTGCACTCAGGACCTGCAGTCAACATCAGCTAGCCGGCCAATGGGCGTCACGGCTAACGCCCATCGTAGTCACCTTCCACTACGACACCCTCGACCAACAATGGCAGAACTTGAACCTGATACCCGCCCTCAGGGCCGCCAAGCAGCCGCCCATCGCTGATGGCATCCCACTCCGCGTCCTGTTCATGGGCGCATCTGTTACACGCGGTGACGTCTCGACCGGCAACCTCGGCTACCGCGCGCCGCTGCACGACAAGATGACCGCCGTCGGCAATCCCGTCAACTTCGTCGGCTCGGTGCGCCTGGGCAACTTCCCGGACAATGACCTTGAGGCCTTCCCCGGGAACCGCGTCGACCAGATCTACGTGCGGGCGTTGCAGATCGTGCCGAAGACCAAGCCGAACCTGTTCGTGCTGCACGTCGGTTCGAACGATTGCCTGCAGGGGTGGGACACGGCAAATTTCGAATGGCGCGTGCGCGAGCTGGTCGAGTACCTGTTGAAAGAGTCGCCACGCGGGACGGTTATCATGTCGACGCTGCTGACGAACACGGTCGCCGGCAAGGAGGCCTGCATCCTGGACGTGAACATCCAGATGAGGCGGCTGGCGTCGGCGCTGCAGCGCGAGGGCAGGCCCGTGGTCATGGCCGAGATGCACTGCGAGCAGGGGCTGCCGGACCGGCCGCAGCCGCACCACATCTCGCCCGACGGCACGCATCCCTTTGACGAGGGCTACGGCATGATGACTGAGATCTTCTGGAAGGCCATACTGGAGGCGGACGAGAGGGGCTTCTTCCAGGAGCCCGAGGACAATGGGGTGCCGCTGGATGGAAACGCGGAGAGGGAAGCTGAAGAGCACCTGCGAGTGGCAGACGACCTTGTGCGAGAGGCGAAGGGCGCATAGAAGAGGAAGTTCGAAGTGGAGTTATAATAACGTTTACAATAATGGAGATGTGCTCGGATACATGGGGTAGAACTAGAAGTTAATTGCGTCTAGTTCAATGACTCGCGTCTTGATCTAGGGTTATTCAGCCGAAGAGTTCCACAGCATTTAGGCTCTGTGAGAGAGACATCGCCTCTGTGCACCCTGGAGTCTGATGGAATAAACTCGCGCAGAAAAACACTGGGCAGTGACGGGTATCATGTTTCATTCGCGGCATTGCTCGCCTAGTGACTCCAGGAAGGGATGAAATGGCGCGAGGTTGGGAGGAATAAGCGCGAGGTTGGGAGGAATAAGAAAACGATGAGATGGTCCTGCTCTCATTATCTACCTCTAGTCTAATCTACAGGGAAACGGTCACCTGACCTGGTATGGACCGTCACAGGCACAGTCAGTCTCCTATCGGATGTGCTTAATTCCCACTTATATCCGTGAACTTGCAGCCCTCCAGCATTGGCCACGCAGTCTTCATCATTTCTCCCCTAACTCTGGCGTACTGCCGGCTTAGCTTTGTCCCCGATCGTCCTCCACGAGGTTGTGGATCCAGCTGATTCCAGCTGTCAGGTGTCTTATCGGTTGGGCCGGATTGTTGCTCAAGGGACAAGGTACCGTTTGCACTGTATCTAGACTAAAGAGACCTTTCGGATGGGACAAGCTCCCCATCCTTCTAGACAGCAAGCAGAACATCCAGAATACTAGTCATCGTAACATGGTATTCTGGGCCCCTGCTAGAAGGCACAAGGTCTTGATGCGTAGCTCCTCTTCAGCGACGACCTCCTACGGGGAGAGTCACTTCGGGTTACCGAACTCGTCCATGGGGTCCTCAGCAGTCCACCAGATCCTCTTTTTGGTCGGAATGGCGCCGGTGCTGGCACTCATGGTAGCCTTGGAGTCCGCCATGGTCTATCCGGTGAGGCCCATGGGGAACGATAGAGGTCGCGCCATGCAGAGGTGATGTATCTATGGGGGTGAATCGCCAACTGGCGCCCATTAGCCGTTCGCTGCGACATCCTATCTCGGCGATGAGTCAGCGAAAGTCGTTCCACCCGGTTTCATCACGATGGCCCTCCACCATTCAGGCGGTCCAACATGGTGGATAACTAATTACTCTTTCTGTTGGCAGCGTGGAGGTGCCGTGAACAATGATGTTGTTGTTGTTGCGGTCCCGCTACAGCTGACAGCTACGCGGAAGGCCTGATCTAGCTACAGAGCACGGACCACGTGACCTCCAACACTTTCCAAGAAGAAGACTGCGTAAAGGAACTGCTGCTCGACGTCCTGAGGCAAATCGACGTCGTGCTCTTGAGGGATTTCGCTGGCCTCTATGCTGGACTGGAGTCTCACCATGGTCTCTTTCGTCCATTCCCGCATCTCGATGGACTCTATGGTCGAGACTACCATCCCCCCCCACATCTCGTACAGCCAAACCCCACCAACACCACCAAAACACCCCCTTATTCATCCACATGTAAAAGAAGTCATTCAGGTCAGAGAAACTCAGCAAAATTATCATTCGAGAGCGCAGAAGCTGCTCACTCGTAATATCTAGTGGGCGCCCAAATAGATCGCCCCGAACGGGCCTGCCTAGGCTCCTGTATGGCCTCCAAAGCGGCCTCTTCAGCCGAGTCTTTCTCTTCTTCTTCTTCTTCTTCCTCGTTATCATCAACCACAACGTCTGGTACATTCGCAGAGGCACCAGGGGTGATGTTACCACCCGTACTTAGTACCTCCGTGACTGTTCTGAACTTCTTGTTAAGATTAGGGGTCTTCTGGCGCTTCTTTGGCCGTAGCCGCTCCAGTTCAGCCTCCAGGGCCTTGATCTTCCTGTCCTTGATAACAAGGTCGGTCTCCTTAGCCTCGAACGCAGTGGCTATCTTCCTGTACTTCAGCCGGGTACCAGGAGATTTATTTTTGCCGAAATTCATGATCTGGCGGCTCGTAATAGGGGTCCGTTGGTCCTCTGGTTCAGAGCTTTCAGGGGTCTCAGGCTTAGGGGTCTTCTGTTTCTCTTCCTGGATTTCTGGATGCGCTAAGCACTTCCTGCGGCTGATAGGATAACATCCAGTCGTTCTGAAGTCAGAGAGGATATTTGCCTTAGTAAAAGCAGCAGTTCTGGCCTGGCTATAGCAATGAATAAAGTTGATCTTATTAACAGGCGAGGCATCCGTCAAAGAATTTAGCTGAGAGAGAAATTTCTGGTAGTGAGCCTTTAAGGCGTTGTAGGGCCAGTTATCTAGGGGTTGTATGCCATGATTAGTGTGCGCAGGGAAGAAACAGAGCAATATATTGGCAAAATAACGAATGGTCATGAATTCATTCTTATAACACGCGTTAGCCCATATTAAATCAGGAAAAAATAAAGGAAATCTATATAAAATAAGGAAAAATCATATATGTACGGAGGTATGGCTACCATGGCCACCTAGTATCAAAAGAACAGGCTCAGTCTGATCTTTTCCTCGTATCTCGTCTACCTACGGGATGAAGACATTTTCTAGGCACCGGCAGGCTATGTTATTCGAAGTCCAGCCGTTTTCTGAGCATATGTAATGCCAATTGGCGGTCTTTCAAAACTCCTCAATGAACCACTGGGCCTTGAGGTCCTTCCCCTTGAAGATAATACCTGGTTTGAGGATTTTTTCAGTTGCAGAGATGGCCTCGATAAAGGAGGTCCAGTTACGGCTCTGGGGGCTCTTTAAGAAGGCCTTTTTAGTAACAGAATTACCTAAAACCAGAGAATAAATGCCTATAAAGCTAATTAGAATTTCTACGGATTTAAGGGGGTAGTTATAGTCACCAAAACCCGCCATGATGCCGCCCTTATCGACATTATACGTGTTTTCTGGCTTGACCCAGCCGTAATCCTCTAGGATTTTAAAGAACCAGTTGACTACCTTCGGCGTGAAGCCCTTAAAGTGCGCTGATTCTATCCTTTTGCCAACTTTGGTCTTTATTTGTGGGTTGCGGCGCTTGAAGCCGGTCATGAAGTGGTCTCCAAGGGGGCCTGAATTTCTGTTCTTTCTCAACACTTTTACGATGATCTCACGCACCAGGGAGTGCGAAGGGGCTAGTCCTAGCTTCTCTTGACGCAAAATCCAGTTGATTATAGTGCTTTCTTGAGCAGGAGAGAGTCTTTGTTGGTATATATGGCCTTCGCCTTTTGAGGACTTGCCGTTAAGTTGGTCAGAGAGCGTTGTGACAGGGACACCGTGTTTTTGAGCGCCGTAGCGAAAGGCCCTTATTCGTGATATATAAGATGGCATTCGCCATCTGATCCTCCGTATACGGTTTGGGAGGCATTCTAGGCGGCTATACGATGCTGCGGTGCATACAGAACAAGGCTTCAGACGAGGCTCCAGCACCCGAAAATCTCTATCCTGGATAGGAAACGCGGGGTAATAGACAGCCAATCACGTACGCTGCGCGGGGTAAATATTACATTGAATTAAACCTTAAGATCAGGGCTATTCAGAGCACTAAATAAATTCTAAACAACTTCAATATTGGGCTGAAAGCGTATAAGTGAACATATAGGGTTTAGGTGGTGGTGGTGAGGTTTTGCTGTACGAGATGTGGAGGTGTCCGAGATGTAGGGGGGGGGATGGTATCTGTTATCACAGCACTGACTCCCAGATGGTCAGGTAGTCATCCTTCGCGGTACTCCGATTCAGCTCAGCCAGCGTATTCCCCCAATTGTCGGGTACGCGACCCCAGTGGTGGTCTAGCGTCTCGATAACTTCTTCGCTGATCGTATGACGTTCTTGGCGCAGGTTTCGTAGTCGATTTTGCTGGTGCACGCTGGCCAGTTGCGCCTCGACAAGACCTTGGTTAGGAATCTCGCAGGTCGAGGTTACTCGGTAGGCCATATGTAGTCCCCATGGACAAAAGGGCTAAAGACGATTGTTCTCGACAGCCATCGGCATATTCCATAGTAGTGCCCATGTTCTCCTGCTTAGTTCGAACCACCTCAAGGCCGGAAGAGACCGCAACCTGATGCTCGATGACGCTACACATGAGGTTGCGCAGTTCGTTGGAGTCCGGACAAGCAGCAGGGCATACAAGTATCTGGGTTGGTCATCGTGCCAGTTGTCGAGGATATCGTGAGTAACTAGTGTAGAGGATCGCTTTTGCTTTCATGCCGAGTCAAACGAGACTTGCGACAAAAACCAGGGTTTAGTTCCCAGTTGCGGTGCTGGGCTGTGTGACCTAGGTGGTAACTCAAGGCGTGAGACGTGGGAAGGAAGTTGGGAAAAAACGGGAAAGAAAGAAGGTGCGTTCAAGTAGAGGTTGTGTGGTAAAGGTTACCTAGGTTAGGGAACGGGCGTTTTCGCACCAGTGAAAAGCTATGAGCCACCATGGTAAACTCATTGGTCGAGGTGATAGTTGCCGCTGTGACGCCATATGTCTTCTGGCCCATATTATGGCGGGAGAGGAATTCCAAGGATGTATATAAGCTGGCCTGACTCGACAGAACCATGATACCTTCGTATTTCGAGACATTCTCGAATGAGTGTCGTGGGCACTTTGACCAGAGCTTTTCGAGGTTTCGCAGTGATGAAGTGTTCGCCGAGGATCGCTGCTCGTTACTCTCCGACGAGCTTAAAGTTCGTATCGTTAGGGTCCAACTTCAATGCTACCATGGTTGCGTAGTTAGGATGGGGTTGAGTATCTGGTAGTATTTAGAAACCCACCTTTGATCTGCTGGCGCAGACCGGCGATGCAGCCCTCGCTTGCCATTGTCGCGGTGAGTCTGTGGTAGTAGACCGTGAGCCTTTTCGTTCCGGTGATCGTAAGTCGTGCAGTAGACTGAGAATGGTATGTAAAAGGCGACGGAGTCTGGAATGGTGGCCTTTTTATAAGAGGAACAGGGTGATTGGAAAGTGGAAGCTCAAACAGCGATGGCAAGGGCACCGTTTGCGTATCCGCGTGTTTGGGAAGTCTTACGAAAGCCTGCGTATGGAGCCTGGATACCAGGGCGTATTCGGTACACAAATCTAACGCTGCTAAGGAATGTATGCTGATTGTAGTCGTCAACAAACACCAGCTGCTTTGCCTCACAAACAAATCCTACACCTCGCAACAGTATTGCAGGTACCTCCTGGCCCCGAAACCCCGACCGGCAAGCCGCAAGACTCAAGCCCAGTGATAATCCCATGAAGATGATCTTACGACGTAGGACTTCTCGTAGTAGCCTGGAGCACAATTCAGCAGCAAATAGAACTTTTGATCCTTGTGGGATGCGCGAGCTCCGGTCTTCCGTGGTATCACAGCTTCAACTTGAACTTCATCCGAATGCCCATAGCCGCCAGCTCCACATCATTACCGCCACACAGATAGCTGAACCACCAAAAGGTAAAGCTACATTAGCGCTATTAGAATCGACCTAACACCACATATATGGACAACCACTGGGTCTTCGCGACTCGTCGACACAACGCACACCACTTCTCTCCCTTCCGATCTTCCCAGCTTACACACCTCCCCATCAAGGTACTGAGGGTCAATAGGTCTAAGTTATGACTGTCACAAGTACGTAGAGTAAGATTTACGGGCACCCTTTTTTTCAGTTGGACTGCTTCCTTTCAGGATGCTAACTTCAGCACCTGCAAACAAGATTGGCTTGAGACCATTCACATGCGCGGATGATACTTTTGAGTGGCGATTGTCGTATGTATTGGGCAAGAAACTCGCTCGTGATCGGCAACCTCAGACTATCTAATCCATTGATCGAGTAGCCTGCGAACTACTTGGGAGATGGCAGACACTCCAAAAGCCGGCTCTTCTCCCTCTCCAAGTACACCTCAAGCGACGTGAAAGGTATACCGAACTTGTCCACCGTAGCCTGCGTGTCCATGGAAAGGTCCTTGATATTGGCCCAGAGGTGGAATCGCTGAGCCGGTACCGTGGTCGACGCCTCCTCGATCTCAGCCGCAGTCCTCTTCTTGACTTTGACGTCTCTTCCGCTGACCCTGGCGATGATGTCGCGCACCTCCTCGATGGTCAGGCTTTCGTTGCCCATCTCAATCTCCTGCTTGTCGAACTTGGCTGGATCGAGCAACGCCGCCGCGGCGTACTTGCCGAAGTCGTGTTCGTCGATGTGCGGCAACCTGACCCCGTCATCGAAGGCATGGTCCAGCTCGCCGGTCTGGGGGAGGGCGGGGATGTTGCGATGGACGGCGGGCAGCAGGTAGTTGGAGTGGACGAAGCCGGTTCGGAGGATCGTGTACGCTTTCAAGCCGGCACCGTGGACGGCGTCCTCGATGCTGGTCTTCGAGGTATAGTAACCGCCAACGAGTTTCATCGACTCATCATCGCCCCACAACTCCTTATTTCCCGTGTATAAAGCCGTAGCGGCCACGACGGCTTCGACACCCGCCTTCTTGCAGGCATCGAGGATGGTCTGCGCCTGTCGACCCTCTGAGGTCACGTCCGTGTAGCTTGGGTAAGTGTTCAGGAAGACCCCCTTGCAGCCTTGAGCCGCTCGGAAAATCGCCCCGGAGTCCTCGTTGTCGCCTTCGAAAAGTGTAACGCCGGGACGCTGCAGAGTGGATGGGATCTTCTGGGGGTCGCGTACAAGAGCGTGTACTGTAGCACCGGCGGCCAGAAGGTGGGTGATGGTCCAGCCGCCTTGCTGACCGGTAGCCTGTGTGATCAGGTAGGTAGGCATGATAGGCGTGTGTGATGAAGCGCAGGTGAGGTGAGATTGACGACTGGAGAATGTCTGGATTCCATCTTAGTTGGTGGGCGTCCCGGCTTCATATATACACGTGCAGAGACGGCTGTGCTGACGATGCTACATTGTGTAACACATGGTATTGGTTCGCTGTCTCCTTCTTGGTAGTCACGATGGCAGCAATGATTTATAATGTCGTTGTCTAGTCCGTGATTGCCTAAATGACTTGATCAAATACACAGACCAATCACGGAGGTAGACGTCGGGGTTAATGAACCAGTCTCCCGTGAACAGGGAAGAATTCGCGTGAGGCGGGGTAAGCTGACGGATCCGGTCTCATCAAATATATGTGAATACAGCGCCTCATATTCCGCTAGCTATCTCCGCAATTTGTCAGCCGCTTTTCTCCGCCGGAGTAGTAGGATCAGTGTGTGCTGGTGGTGCCAAGGCGCAAATACTTGCCCTCAACAGCTGTTACTATGCCGTAGTTCGGAGCAGAAATAGGTTGAATTGCCGCATTTTCCGGCTCACAATGACGGATCCAAGAGTGGACATCATTCTATAAACTTGCTACTGTGGTTTTTCTAGCCCTGAGCGATGAAAACCCTAGCAGTTGCTGCAGAGGAGAAAAACCGACGCCGCGAAGGACAAGGAGTTTAGCAAATACCTATGTCAAGAAGCCTCGGAATGTTGCTAGGTTACTCCCATACCAGCTATTGGCAAAGGGCCGTCAAGCCACACACCCTTACATCAAGGACTGGATAGCAACGGCCACAGAAGCAACGATCACCAGACTAGCCGTCGACCTCGCAAACCTAATTGAAGCGGCGCCCTCCTCATCCTGCCCTTGCTTTGATAACTTCCAGCAGTCTTCGGCTTGAGCATACACCGCAGTTTCAACCCCGAAGCTCTGGAGGTTGTAAGGCAAGGTATGACAGTCACCCCCGTCATCAGATATGCAGTTCAAGCCATACCAAGGCAGGACGGGTCCACCCCCAGCCTCGGGTTCCTGAAGACACTGCTTTCCGTTGTATAAGGTCACACTCCGGTAAGCTTCGAGGTGGTGGTCGCTGTTGTTGGTGGTGCTCTTCTGAGGCTGCTGGTACCGGATGTGAGAGTAGTTGGCGGCGGGATCATAGGCTTCCTTGTCGAGCACGGTCCATTCGAACACACCCGGCAAGGGCGGCACCGAACTGGAGGACGCGTTGCGCATTCCGTTGGTCTGGTTCCCGCCGAATACGTCGGCCAGGTTGAAGCACAAATTCGTGTACGGCTCGCTGACTCCTGTTGTGAAGGAGATGCCGTTGTTCCCACATGTGCTCTCACTGTCGGGATAGAAAGTCAAGGTGAGATTGTCGCTGTCGTGTCGTTAGTGTTGATCAATCGCCACTGAGGTCTGCAATCTTACTTTGTAGTGCTCTGTGCGCTGATGAGGCATGGTAGAGCTAACACGAGAGAGCTCGCCCTTGCTATGGTCGTCCACGAGAGCATATTGCTGGCAGCGATGACTTGGTAATGCTGAGAGCCGAGAATAGCAATACTTTCAGGGGAGAGGTTTGTCGCGACAGACTTAGAGTGTTGATGCGACTGCAATGTTGATGTTGTGAAGGGGACGACTGGTGCCATTTGAAAATGGGCGGCAGTAGGAGCCTCCATCAAGCCGCTCAGCGGAGCCTCAGCCCCAATCTGGGAATCCTTCATGGCAGGGCGACGATGGAACCAACAAGCCACCCAACATCTTGCTGTCTACGAGCTATGATTGGCTACAACTCCTAAATCCTACCAGGCGGCGGGCCGCGGCTGACAGGCGTGACAGGGTGGATGTTGGCCAAGACTCAGGCGTGATGCAAAGAAGCGGCGCAGTCCTTCTTGGCAGTTGGCATGACCTTCGGATG